CTATATGGGAAACTTTTTAGGTGCAGTTACATTGTCATCTAGACTCATAGTACAGTATTTTCTAGAATAAACAGGAATAACTTATTCAATATATTACTTGTCCTATGAAGGCACCTAGAGAGGGTCTGCTAAATAACATGTTGAGAGATAAGAGGAGATTGGAGAGGAGGAAGATCTTTTTCATGGTTCTCTTACACTTTGGAATATACTGCTGGCCTCTCCATCCTAATTGCCCTTTAAGAAAGATAAGATATCTTAATTTTTAAATAGATATTTAATATTTCTACTTGCTTTACTTGTGTTTTACTTTTTAATGTAATTAGACAGCTCTTCTATTACTGCTGAACACTTGTTCAGAATCACAAGGTATCAGTAACTAATGACTAGTTTTGTGGATTGTATTTATGAGACCCTGTCATAAAATAATTTCTAAATAGAAAAATGAAAGATTACTCAGAATGTTAAACCAGTAAAATGTGCTTTGCCAGCAAAAAGTACTTAAATTGTATATGTTTCTGTTTCTAATGATATACAGAGTACAGTTATGAAATTACGGTCCTGCAGCTGCTTTTGAAGCATCATAATATAATGTGATTCTATTTCTAATTAAGTTACACTGACAGTACAAAAGAAAACACTGAAGTAAAACATTTGTAATGCTTAATTTAATTAATCAACAGATTAACATTCTTACAAAATGGTAAGATAGGATATTGATAATCATATGATAGGTTATGGATGGACCACTCTTTGCTGTGACTCTAGGAGACCTAATTTAAATGGTAAAATAATATGCCAAAGACCATATTAGAGGAGCAAATATATTACAAACTAAATGAATTACTGCAAATGAGAACAGGAGACATGAGAAATAATTTAAGAAAAAAAATAGGCATTATCTTGTGAGCCATCCACATTTGTCTTTAAGATGGGTAGCCATACAAATATTTTCAATAAATACCATTTTTTTGTCCATGCAATAATCTTTATCCTTATTCTTTCTTGTTCTCTATAAACAATTGAATGGCAGTACTCTTGTGATAACTTCCATGCTTTGTTAGTTACTTCCAATTTTAATGTGAAGAAATTACTATGCCATAGAAAATTACTATGCTATGCTACTACCATCTCATACAAACCTTTTGTGGCACATGAAATGTTATTCTGAATTGGTGCCTGTATCTCCAATTTTCTATAAACTTATATAAATGCACAAAGATTGGAAATCATTCTGAATGCAATGAAATATGAAAGTACAAATTCATAATATCTGTAATTGGTGGCAAACTCAGTTTTGCTATGTTAATCAACACCTGTAGTAGAACTGAGAAGCATTTGTATTTATTCAAGCAAAAATGAATGGAATAAAGTCTTCATTAGTTCTGATTCATCTAGAGTTTCTCAATTAAATTTCTATTTTGGAGAATGTAGCCTGGGGGTCAGCAATATATTATCTCTAAATATTGAAATATTTTGTCATTTCTCCATGAATGTTGCAGTTGTTATGAGATCAGTTGTTTATTTATTTTTCTACAGAGATTGATCTGCTTATCCTCTGGAAATGCAAAAAGAAATTGTTGGTAGCTAGCATGTATTACATTATAGGTTGAAAAGGTAAATGAACAAGTTTAAAATATGTGGAATTAATTATTTTTATAGTGAATTAAATACTTTTTAAAAATTAAATTAATAAAATAGCTTCAAGGGTCATTTTCAGGTTCATTATGTTTCTTGTTACTCTTCAGTTTAATGCATTTTAATTAGCTTTTGACTCTACATTTTAGTCTACATTTTCTTTTCAACTTCAACTTAGTTGATGAAGAACTAGATCCTAATTTTTAATGTCAATATCCTACTTTGATTCTGATTTCCAGGATATTTCCAAGACTAGTTACTGAAGTTCTTCCAGGGAGATTATTCCTAGAAGTCTTCTGGACTTTGCTCCCTGCTTGGATTTTCAGTAGAGTTGCACAACATGAATCACAGTTCTATCATCAAGTCTGATCTTCAGGTATTTTCTAGGAGGTGGTTGTGAAATGCAAAGTCTTGATCCTTCGTCAGATCTTATTTCTTCACCATTCAGTCACACCTTTGATTTTCCTCCAACTGTTGCCATTTTGCTTCAGCATAATGGCCCCTCTTATAGCATTTGCAATTAAGGACTCCACGGCACAGTTGCTCAATAAGAAGTTAGTCTCTTCCCATATCTAGTGAAATTATAACTTCATTGAGAGGCTATGCAAAGAAAAGAAATAAAATGCTTCTTTATAGAACATGTGATATTGTGTGTTGATATTGGTGTTTGATATAAATTGCAATGAGAGAAAAGAAACATACAGCACAAACCAGTTACATGTATATATTAAGCAAGAATAGATCATTTAATTTCTCTGGACCTAGTATTGATTTGGTATTACAGACCATTGGATCTTTAAGAAACCATTGCTCTTTAATTTGCCTAATTTATTTATACCAGACTTTGATATCTATCTTAAGGTAGATAATTTTTAAGAGATAAAAGTTGTTCCCAATTAACCAAGTACTCTAGACATTTAGGTGAACTAGGCTTGTGTGTGGGAACAATTTGAAAATGGGTTATAAGTCACCACTGCACATTCTGGTAGTTAGAATGCTTTTCCAGTTTTGCATTTCTACTATCTCACATAATAACTTATTAAATATTCACAAGCAAAGAACCCCATTTTTCCAGGAGATATCCCTTCCCCTCTGTTGAGAGAGAAAGAAAGCTTTTTGAATGTTAAGTAATGACATGTAGTACACTGCTGAAAAAAATAAAGGGAACACTTAAACAACACAATGTAACTCCAAGTCAATCACACTTCTGTGAAATCAAACTGTCCACTTAGGTAGCAACACTGATTGACAATCAATTTCACATGCTGCTGTGCAAATGGAATAGACAACAGGTGAAAAGCATAGGCAGTTAGCAAGACACCCCCAATAAAGGAGTGGTTCTGCAGGTGGTGACCACAGACCACTTCTCAGTTCCTATGCTTTCTGGCTGATGGTTTGGTCACTTTTGAATGCTGGCAGTGCTGTCACTCTAGTGGTAGCATGAGACGAAGTCTACAACCCACACAAGTGGCTCAGGTAGTGCAGCTCATCCAGGATGGCACATCAATGCGAGCTGTGGCAAGAAGGTTTGCTGTGTCTGTCAGCATAGTGTCCAGAGTATGGAGGCGCTACCAGGAGACAGGCCAGTACATCAGGAGACGTAGAGGAGGCCGTAGGAGGGCAACAACCCAGCATCAGGACCACTACCTGTGCCTTTGTGCAAGGAGGGACAGGGGGAGCACTGCCAGAGCCCTGCAAAATGACTTCCAGCGGGCCACAAATGTGCAGGTGACTGCTCAAACTATCAGAAACAGACCCCATGAGGGTGGTATGAAGGCCCGACATCCACAGGTGGGGGTTGTGCTTACAGCCCAACACCGTGCAGGACGTTTGGCATTTACCAGAGAACACCAAGATTGGCAAATTCACCACTGGCGTCCTGTGCTCTTCACAGATAAAAGCAGGTTCACACTGAGCACATGTGACAGACGTGACAGAGTCTGGAGACGCCATGGAGAATGTTCTGCTGCCTGCAACATCCTCCAGCATGACTGGTTTGGCAGTGGATCAGTAATGGTGTAGGGTGGCATTTCTTTAGGGGGCTGCACAGCCCTCCATGTGCTTGCCAGAGGTAGCCTGACTGCCATTAGGTACCGAGATGAGATCCTCAGACCCCTTGTGAGACCATATGCTGGTGCGGTTGGCCCTAGGTTCCTCCTAATGCAAGACAATGCTAGACCTCATGTGGCTGGAGTGTGTCAGCAGTTCTTGCAAGACGAAGGCATTGATGATATGGAATGGCCCGCCCGTTCCCCAGACCTGAATCCAATTGAGCACATCTGGGACATCATGTCTCTCTCCATCCACCAACACCATGTTGCATCACAGACTGTCCAGGAGTTGGGGGATGCTTTAGTTCAGGTGTGGGAGGAGATCCCTCAGGAGACCATCTGCCACCTCATCAGGAGCATGCCCAGACGTTGTAGGGAGGTCATACAGGCATGTGGAGGCCACACACACTACTGAGCCTCATTTTGACTTGTTTTAAGGACATTACATCAAAGTTGGATCAGCCTGTAGTGTTTTTTTCCACTTTAATTTTGAGTGTAACTCCAAATCCTGATCTCCATGGGTTGCTAAATTTGATTTCCATTGATAATTTTTGTGTGATTTTGTTGTCAGCACATTCAACTATGTAATGAACAAAGTATTTAATAAGAATATCTCATTCATTCAGATCTAGGATGTCTTATTTTTGTGTTCCCTTTATTTTTTTTGAGCAGTGTATATTCAGTAGTGGAGCAAGTATATTGAGTGGTTCAAACCCAAGATTTAAATTTGAATATTTTTGATAGAAAAATTATGAAGTAAGCATAAAGTCATGTTTTCAACTATACTATAACCCAACCCATACTCAGATTATAACAATGAATAAGCTGAAACATTTCAGGAAAGACACCTCCTAGAAATAAAACACCTTTTCATGTATTTTGTTTCAAGAACTTTCCATGATTAAAGAAAAATATATAATAGCTGTCCAACACAGATCAAAATAGGCAATAATATAGTATGGAATAAAACTATAACATGCCAGCAACTTATTATCTTTTTTAGTGGATTCCTAATACTTCAATGTTCATATATTCAGAAAATAGCAAGCAGACCCATGTTTTCTTTGCTTTCTTCATGCCATATATGTTGGGTAAAATAAAAGTGTTTCCAAATGGATAATTCCAAATGTACCAAGCAAGTACATTATGCATGCATTGTGTCTTTCCTTTTAAATTTTTAATTGTAATAATAAATAAAGTGGGAGAAGCAATATTGTTTGAACATAAAGGAGTTATAATAAAAGATGTGGCTGAAAAGCTATGGATATGAATAAAAAATTTATTCAGTATTATTTTGTGGGATTTTTTTTTTAGGCCAAAAGATATGCTATGGTGATTCAGCACATCCCTGCTACAAGATTGCCTATTTCCAAGACATGTCTCGGCGTGTGGGTTTTCAGGAGGCTCGCCAAGCTTGTGAAATGGGTGGTGGAGTACTTCTCAGTCTTGAAAGTGAAGCAGAACAGAAACTGATAGAAAATATGCTGCAGAATCTCACAAAATCAGGTGGTGGGATTTCTGATGGAGATTTTTGGATTGGTCTGTGGAGAAATGGGGAGAGACAAACCACATCCAGTGCCTGTCCTGATCTTTACAAATGGACAGATGGAAGCAGTTCCATCTTCAGGTAAATCCTCTTAATATTTTATTCCAAAACTCCTAGCAATAAAACACCAAGATATATATGGAACTAGGAGCAAAAAAATAAATCTCCAACTTGGGGATTGTGTTGAGAAGTCATGTGTTTTGTCATTTTTGCATTATCTTTTTTTATCAGACATTTGTGAGTTTCATACTGTATTTTTCTATTGCTTCCCCACATCAGCATGGATTTTTATCATTATCCTTGTACCATTCTTTTCCATTTAGCCTTGTTCACATATAATTCATTACTGTGTTAGTGGGATGATAGGTAGTATCCTACCAAGAAATGTCCTTCAAATATTGGATATATTGGAATATAACTTTTGATCTCACTTGTTCCTGAATCTTGGATAAATATTTCTTTCTTCCCATATTCTGCATTATCATTCAATAATGTTTCCAAACATATTTTTACAGATTACTTTTACATTACTTATTCAGTAGTTTTTCCTTCCATTATGAGTTTGGATGCCAACAATTTCCATTCAGGTTTTTTTTTTTTTGTAAAACTTTAGTATAATTTCTGCAATAGATCTTTGTGCCAACTTATGCTTATTGGCATGGGAAAATGTAATGAAGTAGTTGCCCAAAGCCCAACTTCTTAGCTAACTTGGGAACATGGAAAAACTGAAAAAGGAAGAAAAAACTAACAGAATAATAAATATTCAAAAGTTATAGTGTGAATTTCTTATATTTCTGCTTTATAGGAATTGGTATACTGATGAGCCTTCTTGTGGAAGTGAAGCTTGTGTTGTGATGTATCACCAGCCAACTGCAAATCCAGGTTTAGGAGGGCCTTATCTTTATCAATGGAATGATGATAGATGTAACATGAAGCACAATTTTATCTGCAAGTATAAATCAGGTAGGGCATAATAAACCAGGTTCTTGATGCAATCTTTACTTTTGAAGCACAGATAATTCAGCAGTGGCACTTTACTTGCAAACTAAAGTCAGAACTAAGGGAGAAATCCCTGAATAATATAGTTTACTGTTAAATAATGTTACTGCCTTTGTGTTTGTCTTCTGAATTTTTCATACTAATGACATTTAGGCTGCTAAATCATTCAGTGTAATAGCAATCTAATAGATTTAATAGGTCTGATATTGAGCAATAGAAGCTCAGTTAAGCTCTCCTAAGTAGTCTCATAACTAGGTCAGAAAAGGTCTTCAAAATAATAACCAAGTAAGATCAATGCCCTTCATAAAATATTTGTGTAAAAGAACGTCTTAGTTTATGATCTGTTCTATTATATATAGTTCATATATACATCCTTCACTGTTTTTACTTTTGGATTTTCTGTGAAAAAAAGACACATATATATCACATGGTCCTTGAAATAAGAATGGGATAAAAACAGATTTTTTTTTAAAGTTCTGGACCTTGTTTTTTCCTAAATATCATTCCATGAAATACAGTGCTTCGTATTCATGTTTCAATGAGTCTTCCACAATTTAGTGCCTCTTGAGGCTTGAAAGTTGCAGCAACAAGTCCAATTCATTTGAAAATGAACTGAATGAGTATTCAGTTTGCTTTTCTAAATGAAAGTAGACCGGGAAGGTTAGTTATAAAAACTGAAAAAGCTTATTAAAGTTATTTTTGATGTTGCGTACAAAACAGTAAAAATTATATACTTTTTAAATGTTTCTTATTGATTTAACAGAAGACATTGTAGAAAAAGAATCAGGAGGCAGAACAGATTCGCATCACGGTAAGGACATTTTGGACCAAATTGCAGTTTTGAGAAATAATACCTGAATTATTTTTGAAATCAAAACAATCAGATTACAAAAGCAGGCTAAGTTGGAACATCTGAACTATCATTGCAATTCAGAAAAATATCCAACTGTGTGTTTTATAGCATATGACCACATTTAGAATATTGCAGTTTTGCTAACTTTTATTCCAGATGTGATTCCAATGTTGCAATGAAACCTGTAGCCAGAATTTATCACCCACGCTTGCTTTTAAAAATGATTAGCTGTAGAATTTTGTTCCCTTGTTTAAGTACAATGACAAAAGCAGATGCAAAGACATAGAAAACAATTTTACTGTAATTTCCCCCCCACCCCAAACTGTTTTTTCAGAAGTTCAAGCAACAGTGCCAGCTGTGAAGCCTAACGATCCAAGCAAGACAGAAGATGATTTTCCATTGGTCGTTACTGAAACTGGTGGTAATTGATATATTTAGTTTTTAAATCACATTTCAGAATGCTATTTCAAAAGACCAATTAGATGCACTTAGCATTTTAAAGGAAAAAAGATATAAATTTGGGATAGATATCCTAGGATTCAACAGAAAGTAAATTGCAGCAAGATAAGGAATTTCAAGTATAATTTTCTGGAAATGCCAATTGAACATAAATGAATGCAAGAGAAATGGGCAGCAATAAAAACAAAATCCAATAATATGTTGGCAAGTGAACAAATGCTTGCATTTTTCCAATTAACATTTTTCTTAATTCAGTTTTTACAAATGGCAGCTGATGAAATAAATAAATAAAAAATAAAGTGGCTCTATTGGCCATGACAATAAGAACATGCTGTTGTACCAAGTTTGCCCTTATACATTTGTGGAAACTTTGAAATTTCAAAGCTAGCATCTTAGAAATATACCCAGTTGCTGATTAATCACATGATAACTATTATGCTTTTGTGGCATATGCTTGCATGGTGAATGTTTTGCTTCCCTAAATCCTAGTGCATCTTCAGGATCAATAAAGAAGCAAAAAGATGTGTCCAGGAAGGTCTTTGTACAGCTCCAACTGGTATACTAGCTATATCCTTCTGGATAAGGAGCACAAAGGATCATTCATGCATTTATTATCTCAGGCTTGACTATTGTCATATGCATGGGTCTGTCCTTAAGTACTACTTGGAGCTTCAATTGGTCCAGAATGCAGTGGCAAGGGCTGCTATAGGCATGCCTTGGTATGCTTATGTGATACCACTTCTTTGAAAGCTGTACTAGTTACCAGCAAGATTGAAGATTCAAGTTGCTGATTATGACATATAAGTGTTGTTGGGATGAGGATAGCTTTAACCTAGTTCTTGTAATGTGGGTGGATTCAGGTTTTTGACCACTGCTCTTTAATATCTATGTAAAACTCATGGGGGAGGTCATTCATAATGTGCAGCATCAACATTATGCCAATAATATCAAGTTATACATTTCTACTCTGGGGATGTGCTGCAGTGACTGTAAGCAACACCAGAATGTTTCCTTCCTATCTTCCGTACAGGATTAGGCCAGGAATTTCTTCTAACAGCCAGTTCTCCAAACTGCTTAGAATGTTAACAACCGGGGGACTTCCGGTTTGAGCTTCGCGGACAGACCGAAACCGCGATCGTGCGCGATTTTGATCCGTGCTCACTGCTGGAGCGCCCCGAGCCGGCTGGTTTCGGGGCTAAGCCACCCCATAGAGGTGGTGAAGAAGGGGGAGACTGCCAGCAGGGTCAAGGAGAGCCATATCTCTCCTCCTCAGCTGGCCATTACTTCCTTTCCCAAAGGTGGTTGCAGCGGTGGTCAGAAATGGCCACCTCAAAGAAGAACTCGACCGGAAAAGAATGCGCAGGAGGAAGATAAGAAGAGAAAGTCTTGGTTAACTGGGTTAAACTGCAAAAGCAACAACTAAGGTACCCTGGAATTTATACTACAAAAAAAAATGTAATATTCCCAAAGAAGACTTTGAAGCAGCGAAGGAGAGAGAAGGGAAAGGATTTTTTTTCCCTCTCTCCCTTTCCCTATATTGTCAGCTAAGAGATTTAAGCAAGAAATTGGAAAAAAAAATCCACTTAGACATTAATAGGCATTGAAGCTGAGAATAAAATGTCAAAGGGATAATAAAGATTTCTGGATACTTAAAAGCTTTTAAAAGCAGGAAAGGAGAGAAAAAGAATAAAAGGGCAGGATCTGGAAAAAAGGGAGGAGACTGCCTGGAATTAAAAGGAATCTACAGTAAAACTTTAACAAGACTTTTAAAAGATACATTTTAACTGAAACTTGACAACAAAATAGTAGAACCCTAGGAACAGAAAGTGGAAAAAAGAAGCAAAAAGAAACAGCTTGGGAGTATTTAGACTACTTGGTGATCTCTGGATTTTTGGTTATTGCATTTGACTGACTAAAATCAATCGGGTGGTTGTTTAAAAGTTTTTAAAATGGCACCACTTTTGAAGAATTGAAGATGGAACTTAAAAAGTACAAAGAAGATGCACAAGAAGGAAGAAGTTCTTTTGGCTTCATATTTCAATTTTTAGAAATGGTAATTTGGAACTATGAGAAACAACAAGAATTGCCTGTAGAACAAGAAGATTGGGACAAAGAAGAAGCCATCTTTAATGAACAAGTAATTTTATGTGGGGAAGAAAAAGGAAAGAGGGGGAAGAGAATGAAAAGTTTAAGATTTAAAAAAACAACCAAAGAAAAGAAAAATAGTTTGAAAAACAAGTATAATATTGGAAAGCAACAGAAGAGGGGAATACAGAAGAGAGAAATAGAAGTAGAGCGACAAGGGGGTAAAAGGCGAGGGAGAAGAAGAGAGGGAAGAAGGAAAGGAAAAGAAGTTACAAAGGACAGAAACAAGATAAAGAGAAACAGGGCCTATTTAGAGATAATGGGTGAAAATGTAATTGTAAAAGGGATTCTGTAAAGGTACATAAGACTGTATTGTATTGTATTGTTATATTAGAAATAGAAATAACTTTAGAAAATTTGAAGCAATGTATGATTAAAATGATGGATAAAATAGTTATTGTAACCCAGTGAAATGTTTGTTAATAAATAAATGAAATAAAACGAATGAGAGAATTGAATTAGGAAAGGATGGGAACATTTTAATTATTTAATGTTTTATAAAATACAAACGAAGAGGAATAGGGAAAAAAAATTAATTATGGAAAGCTTATAATTGTTCCCAAAGAACTATGATATTGAATTGAAAAGTAATGTTAAAGAAGTTAAGATTTTAATGAACATTAATATTAATGATAGAACTGAGTTGGAATGGAATGAGTGTTTTAATTATATATATTTATAATCTTTTTTTTAAAGAATATAGTGTGTATTTTAAGAATGTACCAAACAGAATTCGAATGGAAGTTATGTATTATATTGAATGTTATAACTTTAAGGTATATACTGAAGCTTAAATAAGTGTTAAATGGATAAAACTAAAAGATATAAAGGTGTCATACTCCAGTTAGTAACTACTGTTTAACTACTGTTTAACTACTCTCATTGTTTAATGAGAAAAGATAATATGAAATTGAAACAGGACAGACAAAAAAGTATAAATATAATGATTTGAATTGAAATGAGATAATCAAAATAAAATTGAGAAAATTAAAAGAGGGGAAAAGCTATGTAGAAAATATAAAACAGCAATAAGATATGGAACAGAACATAAAAACGAGCATGAAATTGAATTTGTGTCTGTACGAAGAAGTGTAACCTGGGACCATGCTACTTTCAAAAAATATGTTTTATTTGTATTATGTTTTTTTTTTTTGTGAAAACTCAAATAAAATTTACAACAACAACAAAAAAGAATGTTAACAACCGGTTTTAGCGAATAGGTGTAAACTGGTAGAATCCCACCCCTGATTAGGATGTAGGATTACATCTCTGTGATGGGATTTGTCATGTGGATTGGGGTTTCCCCAATATTCATATGGCACCCACCCTGATGGCATTCCGGAAAGTCTTAAAACCCTGGCTGTTCATGCAGGCCTCAGGCTAGGGAAATTCTATTCGATATGTTTGGGAGATTTAAATCTTGCATATAAATGTATTCATGAATAAGAAATAAGATATTTGGGAAATAAAGAGTCTTTCTAAGTTTGTTAATGTATAGATCATAGCATTTAAGAAATATTATTTATTAAACTGAATCCAGGTTGGTTCATTTGTAACTGTACCATACATAACAATTAAAACTATAAATTGGTTTCTACACTATCTTTAAAATGTGTTCTCTGGCTGAAATGTTCAGATTAAAAAAAATGAATTTGAATTACATCAAAACAAATTTCATATAAACCTTGGAACTCTATTCATGAATTTTTTTTGATTCATATGCTCTAAGACAGGTGTGTCCACCAGTGGCCTCTGGGCTGTATGTGGCCTAGACAGCTGTAATGTGGCTCACAAGATTATAAACCTTTAATATTATTATGTGATTTATACACATTATGTCAAGGTTCAGAGTAATGAACCCAACCAATCCATCACCTCTGAGACTTTTGGCTTTCTCAAGAATTCCTTTATTGAGTACATCATATCAACAACACTTTTGAAATACAAAATCAGCTCTGGTTATTTCCCACACTTTAGTATAGTAAAAGAATAGACAGTCCCTTCCCTCCTTGTCAGAGGTCACATTGTCCAATTAGGTGTTCAGGCATTTCCTTGGTAACCCCTTTCAGTCTCAGGCCAGCACCTGTTGGGATGACCTTGGTTCTCACAAGGTAGTAAGTTGTTGATGTCTGGTTTGACATTCCAGAGCTCCCCCCCCCCCCAAAGTGTATCAAGCTGAGAAACAGAAAATGGCTGCGACAGACCTGATCCGTTTTGAAATTGAACATTAAATATATATTTTATATGTGGACCAAGACAATTTCTCTTCACAATGCAGCCCAGATGAACTTAAAAGTTGGACACCTGTACTTCACATCATTCAGATTTTTGACTATACTTTATGTATAACCAAAGGAGTTACCATGGCAGTGCAGTGGGTAAAATGCAGCTTTGCAGGCTAACTCTGCTCACTGTCAGGAGTTTGATCCTGGCTGGCAGAAGGTTGATTCAGACTTCCATCCTTTTGAGGTTAGTAAAATGAGGGCCTAGATTGTTGAGGGCAATATGAAGTGATCTATAAGTCTAAGTACTATTGCTACCCCAATGGTGAATGAATTACTAGAATAAGCAACTTTAAAATACATTTTCAACTTTCTCTTGGTTGTATATTAAAGGGGGAAATTATTTTGGCCATTAGTGCTAGGAGGCTTTGAAGAAATTTCAGGATTAAAATATTTAGTTAGATATTGTTAATCACTGTCCTTGGTTTGCATGGTGTCAACACCAAGGGAATTAAAATATTTATATATGTATTTTAGTACACAAAACTAGTCTTTCTATATTTTAAATTGTAATGACATTCTTTTTTCTTGTAGGTCTTATTCCTAATTTAATTTATGTTGTTATACCAACCATACCACTGTTGTTGTTGATATTAGTGGCTTTTGGGACTTGCTGTTTTCAGATGCTTCATAAAAGGTAATTTAGTGTTTTATCATACACGACAATTTGTATCTGTGATTTATGTACTTTGGAATGTATGTTTACATCAGTCACTCATATTCAAGTCCAGTCTACATAAAATACAAGACTAGTCATCCTGAATGACATCCATAATATTACATAGTGGATGTATTGTAAAAGAAGAATATATTTAAAAATGTAGCCACCTACTCAAAGATAAAATATGCAGCATAAATAGAAGGAGGGAATTGTGGCCCTGTCATAGATCAAAAAGTATTGTTAAACCAATATAGATAAGCTTGTTGCTTATGTACAATTTCATTAGAAAAGTAGAATTTCAGTCTAATGTCAAAGTAAAGCATATAAACTTTGCAATATGAAACAGAATATATTTGATTATATATTCTGCTTTAAGGAAAAGCAATTATGCTCAGTAGTATTTTCTGCTTTGGAAACATTCAAAGGAACCATTTTCCAAAGAGAAATCAGTTCATTTCCCATCTCCTTTTAGAATATTATGATCACTATTCATTTTGTATTGTGAAGTGGGAGCGCTGTTGCAGAAGAGAGAGTTAAACAATGTTCCAATATGAAACTTTCTATCCACTTCTTTACATAATATTTAATCTTACTTTAATCTTTACTTTAATGTAGTATTTCCCAATTTTCTTGGCAATGCAGACCTGTCAAATATACTGTAAGCAGGTGTGTCCTTAAAAAAAAATAATCAAGACCGCTTACTCAGTCCAAAAAACTCACAAGATGTCTTGCTAGAGCTTTCTTACACAATCTTCTGGAGTATTTATGTAATCAATTTGTTAACTGTCCCCACAAACATCAATGGTGGTTGGGAAGATTGTATGTAAATAACTATATTGTAATTATGACATTCGGTTTCCAACAAGATAACAGGCTTACTTTCTGCGTCTGAGCAGGGGTGTATGACGTGCAATCAGGAACATGGGTAAGAAACACAGGAAGAGTAATCAAATGTTTCAAGAGAAAGGTATTGAAACAAACTTGCCATTTTAGTAGGAATTCCACATATAAAATATTTATATTTTTGAGCGCCAGGAAAAAAAAATGTTTTATTTCCTCCAGAAAATTCAGCAAAGAATTTTTTCTTGCCTCCCAAATATGTTATATGCTAGTAAGGAATTATGGAAGTTTAATCTAGTATTTAGCTAATGTAAGTTAGCAATACTTGAAGAAATATTTAGTTATAAAGAGGAAAATGATATCGGACATTCAGATATTAACCCATCATATTAGGAACCAAGCATTTGCTTTATGGCAAATCATTCGTGCTTAGAGGCTTTCCCTTTCTTTCTTCTAGGGAAGCAAGGAGAAACTGCTTCAATGATTCATCACCATTATCATCTGAATCCTTTACAGAACATTTAGATTCTAACTTGGTACATTGCTCAGTTTCTAAGGTCATCTTTTGATTCCGTTTTGAAGGCAGAATGTCAGTGCCTAAGCTACCCAGCATTCTTCTAAAAAATTAAACATGTTGATTACTTTGAGGTTTGAAAATCTTGAAATTATGATAAACTCTATAAACATATGGAAAGTTAGCAGTGTTTCTACTGAACAATAGTTTGGGGGAGATGTTCTTGCCACATTTGTTCAGAGGAAATCCTTTAAAATCAGCAGCAACATTAATAACTTATTTGACTTCCCTTCCATGCTGCTGTAATATTTAAAACAACCATTTTGAATGCCTTTTCAGAAGAAAAATGGGAAGCAAATCAAATGAATTATCATCCCCACCATCATCATCCAAAAGGCAGCCTATCAAAAATGTTGCCACTGAGTTGCAATTGTTAATGTGAAAGAAGTAAAAGTTTTAAATATACAAATAATAATAAATTGTTACTTTCTATTCTGCCTTCATTTGAGGAACATAGTCTATGGCACATCACTCAAAATGCAGCCCTCGCTGTCAAAAAGCTTGCAATTTTTGTCCAGAGATTGGCATTTAAAGAGTAATTTCATTCAATTTGGACTGCTAGATTGATATCACCTTGTCTTTATAGCAGTGTTTCCCAACCTGGGCAATCATAACCAGATGTGTACACTTCCACTTCCAGAATTTCCCAGCCAGCCTTAGTAGTAGAATTTCATATTCCTGGGAATTCTCCAAGTTGGGAAACACTGTCTTATGCCAATAGAATTTGAAGCCACTGGCTAAGAAGGTCTTTAAGTGATCACCTAGCCAGGTGCTTGTTTCACTGGAAGGATTCCCACTTTTATATAATCATTAGCCTTTTCTTCAGATTTTCTTGGTTTTGTTGCTGTTTTCTTCTTGCTAATGCTTTGCTTTATGCTTTAATTGTATTAATGCAGAAGTTATTTATAAAAACTCGTTTGGCACTAAGTCATTGGTAAGCCAATTGGTACAGGCCTTTAGTGTTAAACATTGCACAGGATTTATTTATTTTATTTTTATTTATTTATTTATTTGATTTGTCAATTGTTTACAAGATAATAAGTACAAGTGTATACATAGTTGTGAATATATGAAATGGGTACATATAAGAAAAATAAAAGAATAAGAGAAACAATAGGACAGGGACGGTAGGCACGTTGGTGCGCTTATGCACGCCCCCTTTATATAGCTTGCTCAACTTCCTTCCTAAGTCTAAGATCAGTATTCAGCTGTATGTATATAATGCTTTTGAACCAGGATAACTGAAGCAATATGCCTAATGCAAATATTCAGGTATTTTTTTTACAATTTATTCTTTACCACCCTCTTTTATTGCAGAGTTCCTAGTTGAATATGTGAAATTATGTGAACCAAATGTATAGCCATGGATTTGTGTTTTTAATTTTCCAGTAAAGGAAGAACAAAAACCAGTCCTGATCAGTCAACACTATGGATTTCTAAGAACCCAAGAAAGGACAGTAACCTGGAAGTATAGAAAACTGGCTGAAATGAAAGCAGGAATGATACTTTCCAGGATTTCTTAGATTGTCTTGTTAAATATTAATTTGGAATGGCTTGAAATTGCAACAGATCAACAGAATGAAGTGGAAGCTCCCCCTTGAGGCTCTTGCTTGGATCATTTTTTATGGTTTTCGGTTTTTAATCCCATAGCAAACATAGCTGTCTAAAAGAAAATAAAATATGATTATTTTGCTAAGGAAAGTAACTTGGCTACAGATACTAATGAGATGGACAGAACATTCTGAATTTATTCCATGTGTCAATTATAGAACAAGTATTTCTATTTTAACTTTTAACATTTATTTCCGTTATTAATTCCACATATATTGTATTATTTCTCACTAATGGATGGACTGTAATTCCAGCTAATATGAATTTACAGTATATTAAGATAATTTATCTTTGCATAAAAAAATTCTACACTAGAATATGAGTTATTGTAATCTCATATATGTAAAACCGTTTTATCAGTGTTATTCATTTGAGTGATGAGATTTTTTTTAAGGCAAAGAAAATGATGCACAGTACTTGATTATTCTTTGCTACCATCTATTTTTGATAATGCTTGTCCAATGTTAGCACAAATTATTCTACTCAGGTCTTATTAATTAGTACAAAAATAGAATTAATACATTCAATTCCCTGAAAACAAGCTGAAAGAGAAAGTAGCTTTTTCCTATGTATGCTTTACTGTTGGAACAAGCAATGGCAGAAATGTATGGTTGACAACTTGTATACTGGTATCTTGTTATGTTCTGGATTTTTTGTTATTATTTTGTTTTTAAATCGGGAAAGAGAAGTCACCCTGATGCCACTTAGAAATGCTATCACTTAAAATCATGAAACATAAAGATTGTCACAGAATTTCCTTCCTTCCTTCCTCCCTCCCTCCCACGTTCCTAATCCCTGAGTGACAGAAGTCAACCACTTCTATATAGCATCACTTTATGCATACTTGGATATATAAAGAAATTGTGTACAGTTTTTTTTTTAAATATTCAAAATAAGAAAACAATGAAAGTAGAGTTGAAAGGCTAGAACATCCTTCTTGCAATATTTCCTTTGACTCAAATAACAGTTTACAAATATTTCCTATAGATAACTAAGAGTCTTCTTATTCTTTTGGAAATTTTGTTCCTGTTTGCAAAAGTCCAGATTTGAAGACTAAGAAAAATATTTGTGAGACTGCCTCAGAACTCCTCAGATCTGCAAAATAGATCCTCAGTATGGCATTGTTTATATGACAGTGATAAGTGTGAAAAGGTTGCTAAAGAACATATATAAAAGCTTTATGTGTTTGTAAATAATTGCACACAATTCTGTATTCAGAATCTAGAAGTTTTATTAATATGCCTCACTTATGCATATAGAGCTATTGAAATATATTTCTTATCGTAATAATTGTGTTATAAAAAGACTTGCAGGAAATATCATAGCTGTAGGACAGACTTGGATGTAAACAAGTATTCCCTTGCCTCCCTCCTCCCCTCAAAAAATAAAAAACAATAACAATATTGCTTCCATATGGCTGCCAAGAAAATAACATAGAGATATCTATGAAACCATCAAAAGTTGAGTTTGATGTTATTGTGCATGTCATTTCCAAAAAAAATGATGCTGCAATTTTTCTGTCTCTTGGCCAACATAGAAACATGTATTAACAGCAGAAGTACTTGTCCTTTAGATGCAATGGAACGGAGATTGAAATATATATTGGATCCATTTTCAAACCTGTTACAAAATTCTGATTTGTGTGTGTGTGTGCGCGCGCACACACACACACATATATAAATTCTTCTGTTGAAATCCTAAATCCTAAGCTACATGCAGAATGGTTTTGGCCAAATCAAATAATAATTTCATTACTATTGTATTAGTGACTATGGTTTTGATAGTGTTTTATTTACAAGCTGATTTTTTTCTCATTACATTGAGAAGTTTAGCTCTTCTTTCTGAATTTGTAACATTTCTTATCTAAATTTAGATTAATGTTATTTCATTTAAAATACAGGAATGTCTTGAATACATTCCGACAGTATGATTTAAAATGAATGAAATATATGCATATGTGATTTCACAGAAAGTATAAAAGCATATTCCATTGGTTTCAATAGAAAGCTGGTCTTTATAGCTATGAGTTATTTTTCAAAGATTTCCATCTTATAGTAAATGCAGTAATTGTTTGGTTATTCTGTCGTGCGTTGCAGGAAAATCATTCAAAATTAATTAAATTGAGAATATAAAGTTACCTACTTGATTTGAATGATTACAGGTGAAACTCGAAAAATTAGAATGTCGTGCAAAAATTCATTTATTTCAGTAATGCAACTTAAAAGGTGAAACTAATATATGAGATAGACTCATTACATGCAAAGCAAGGTAGTTCAAGCCGTGATGTGTCATAATTGTGATGATTATAGCTTATAGCTCATGAAAACCCCAAATCTACAATCTCAGAAAATTAGAATATTACATGCAATCAATAAAACAAGGATTGTACATAGAACAATATTGGACCTCTGAAAAGTATAAGCATACTCAGTACTTGGTTTGGGCCCCTTTTGCAGCAATTACTCCCTCAGTGCGGTGTGGCATGGAGGCTATCAGCCTGTAGCACTGCTGAGGTGTTATGAAAGACCAGGATGCTTCAAAAGCAGCCTTCAGCCCTTCTGCATTGTTCGGTCTCATGTCTCTCATCTTTCTCTTGGCAATGCCCCATAGATTCTCTATGGGGTTCAGGTCAGGCGAGTTTGCTGGCCAATCAAGCACAGTAATCCCACGGTCGTTGAACCAGGTTTTGGTGCTTTTGGCAGTGTGGGCAGGTGCCAAGTACTGCTGGAAAATGAAGTCAGCATCTCCATAAAGCTCATGTGTGGAAGGAAGCATGAAGTGCTCCAAAATCTCCTGGTAGATGGCTGCATTGACCCTGTACTTAAGAAGCACAGTGGACCAACACCAGCAGATGACATGGCTCCCCAAAACAACAGATTGTGGAAATTTCACACTGGACTTCAAGCATCTTGCAGTGTGTGCCTCTCCATTCTTCCTCCAGACTCTGGGTCCTTGGTTTCCAAATGAGATGCAAAAGTTGCTCTCATCAGAAAAGAGGACTTTGGACCACTGAGCAACAGACCAGGTCTGTTTTTCTTTAGCCCAGGTAAGACGCTTCTGACATTGTTGTTCAGGAGCGGCTTGACGAGGAATACGACAGTTGAAGCCCATGTCCAGGATCCGTCTGTGTGTGGTGGCTCTTGATGCACTGACTCCAGCCTCAGTCCACTCCTTGTGAAAGTCCCCAACACTTTTGAATGGCCTTTTCCTGACAATCTTCTCCAGGCTGTGGTCATCCCTGCTGCTTGTGCACCTTTTTCTTCCAGATTTTTCCCTTCCACATAACTTTCTATTAATGTGCTTTGATACAGCACTTTGGGAACATCCAACTTCTTTTGCAATTACCTTTTGAGGCTTTCCCTCCTTATGGAGGGTGTCAATGATGGTTTTCTGCACAACTGTCAGGTCAACAGTCTTTCCCATGATTGTGATTCCTACTGAACCAGACTGAGAGACCATTTAAAGGGTCAGGAACCCTTTGCAGGTGTTATGGCTTAATTAGCTGATTAGAGTGGGACACTTTGAGCCTAGAATATTGAATCTTTTCACAATATTCTAATTTTCTGAGATTGCGGATTTGGGGTTTTCATGAGCTGTAAGCCATAATCATCTCAATTATGACACATCATGGCTTGAACTATCTTGCTTTGCATGTAATGAGTCTATCTCATATATTTGTTTCACCTTTTAAGTTGCATTACTGAAATAAATGAACTTTTGCACGATATTCTAATTTTTTGAGTTTCACTTGTAGATCCATAGTATTCTCTAGTTCATTTGACTAGGCATGAGAGTTTCATGAGTACTGCTAATCAGAACTGTATCTTCATCTTTTTCATAAACTATACATACACTTTGCATTGTCTACTGTACTAATAAACTGAGTTAATAGGAAATGATTGGGGATGTACATGACTGAGGTTTTCTGATTGGAGCCTTAGTGAAGACATATATACTGAAATATCATTACTGTTTGAAAAAAACAGTCATTTGAAAATCTCTTACACAAGAAAAAATATTTTCATTATTAAAATGTATTGACAGCCTATCTGCAGTAGATTGTATAAGAGTTTAATTGATGATCAGCTGCTCTTCTCAGTAAGTTTAAAGGCACAGTTTTACTGAGGGTTGTACTTTCAACAAATCAGTATCTTATCTGAGCTACCCTTTCTTATTCAAGCATTAAGAGAGTAGCTGGAAGAAAAATATTGCATCTTCTGGGTAAGTGTCAGTAAAACTTCAGGTACTTCTTCATATCACTTCTAACACAAACCTGGACAGAATTTGAATTATTAACTTTTGCCTGATTCTACCAACTTTATTGCATAGATACTATAATCACTTTCAATTCTATATTCTTTCTAGTTTTTTTTAAATGCTAATAATTAATGGTACGTTTTATCCAGTCAACAAATTTGAAAACATTTACATAAATTCCAGGGCGATTTGGAAGTGCACACTTATAGCCAAAGGATGTTACACCAACTAGAAACCACTTTTTATTCTCTTGACACATCAGAGGCCCACCAGAATCTCCCTGAAATGACAAAGAAAAATTAAAATAATATTATTGTTGACAACACTATTACTATGAACTTAACTGTTTAATAAGATGACTGTCAGTTTTGTATAATATTTCTGGAAGCTTCTCTGGAAGCCATAAGTTTAAATGAAACATACTGGGCCTGTGTAAAAGTTATGTCATGATACTTATCCTTATTGAGGAAAGAAATGCCTTTCATAAGGGTCCTTTACCCAATCTGTTAATCTTGGGCAGGAAATGCTTCAGTGAGATAAATTCACTGAAAGGAATTTATTTATCACCCTGAGCTTACTTGTCTTGACATTGAGGCAACCTTCAACCATATTTTGTTGCTGTCTAAGTGATGTGTATTACTTGTGCCTATATGGATCTGACCATGCTGTTTCTTTACTCTTATGTCAACTCAATGTAATTTATGTATTTTTATGTAAGAACCATGGTGGTGTAGAATGCAGTACTGCAAGCTACTTCTGCTGACTGCCAGCAGTTTGGCAGTTTGAGTATCACCGGCTCAAGGTTGATTCAGCCTTCCATCCTTTTGAAGTCAGTAAAATGGGGACCCAGATTGTTGGAGGAAATATGCTGACTCTGTAAACTGCTTAGAGAGGACTGTAAAGCACTGTGAAGAGGTATATAAGTATAACAGCTATTGCTATTTATTAATTGCTTGTAGGAAGGGTGGCATGGGCCATTCCCTTTAGTCACTGTTACTGCTCTTTGTAGCTTTTGTGGGGAGAAGAACACATCCATAGAAGCCTTAATCCCCTGGTGCTTTTTAATATTTTATGCTAGTAAGAGGGATTATATGGATGATTTAGTTTTCTGATAATTTCTGAAGCACTAATTATAGCTGGTCAAGAAGAACTAGTGATGTATTGGATTTCAATAGTTAAACTAGGGTTTTTTGAACAGGTTTTTTTGATGGACCAGTGAAATTTTGAATGAACCTTTATTCCTTCCCTACCTGTCTCCCTTGTTAAGTTGACAATAGTACTACTATTTTTTTCCTTTCAGCCAAAATGATTAGAAAAAAGTTATTTTTTCCTGCTACCATACTTGGAGATATCCCAAATGGAAAATATTTAAGCGTAAGGAGGTGAGGGGAAAGGAATCAAGGTAACAGGACTCATGTAAACATGCAGAATGAGCAGGGGAATCCATCAATTGGTAACCATTATCCAGACAGAATACCTAGCTAGCCATCATTTCCAAGCTTGAGTAATGGATTTGAATCTGGCAGAAATGTATTAAGCTTCATTTTCAGCTGGTTTCAGTAAAGGAAAAAACAATCATGGTTGCCATATGGAAAGCCTTTTGCTGAACATAGTGCAAAGTACATAGTGCACTATGCTTTGGTAACTACATCACTTGTAATAATTATTTCTTTGATGGATGGAGTTCTAAATGTTCAACATACTTTATTCAAACTAATTCAAACTAACATACAGTGGTAAATGAAAGCAGAATGTAATAGCAGTGATGTAATTATAAAAAACATTCCTCATAACTTTTTATCTCATTGGTATCTATATAAAAAGTTTACATTATAAAAAAGAATCAAAAACTAATGAATAATTTATTGACTACACTATGACAATGCAAACACTGTTACCATTTACCTTACAAGCATCAATTCCACCTTTATCATACCCAGCACATATCATGTTTTCAGTAATATTGTATTCTGGCATCAGTTCCTTGCATTTCTGATGTGTTATAAGAGGGACTTCTGCTTCTTGCAATATACTTGAGATTGAATCTATTTGAAAACCAGAAATATATGCACTGTTGTAACTGATAAAATGATGCATATCACGTAAGTCAAATAATACACAGTATTTAGTCATTCCTATACTATATGACTTACCTCCAGAGCAGACCTATGCAAGGCCCATTAGATTTTCATTGCCAAATAGCTACATCTAATGTAAGTAATGTGGCTCTCTTACCACTTTTGTCTTCCAGTTCAAGCTTCCATTTTCAAGAGATGGAAAAGATTTCTGTGCAGTTCTCCAAGCTGCATGGAAACCTGGCTGGAAGCATCAGAGCTTCTATTGATGCCCAGTATAGCACAGTTGTAATACTGCAGTACACAATTCAGTACAGATGTAAACAAAATCCATAGTGGATTATAGAAGCAGATTAGTGAGAGCTCTCGGAATGGCATGGATAGGAAGCTCTTACAGTTTTCTAGCTTTCAACTTGCTGTAGCAACTGCTCCTCCCTCACCTATTTTTGCTTGATATTAGTTCTAAAAAAGTGCTTGATTAAGTGGTGTGACATTCTATCCCTGACTTATAGGGTTGACCTTTGAATTTATAATTACAGAGAATCATAGTCCTATTAATACAATACAGTTAGAAGGGAGAAGTAAATATCTGTTCTCACTTCTGCTTTCTTTTAATAGAAAAGCTATGGAATTTAATGTTTCTGATATAAGTACACTCCAGTTGGAAGAATAGAATAGCTGATAGTTGTGGCAACTTTGAAGTAAAATAGATTGATTATGACATAGATACATTGTTTATCATTTTTATTCACTGCACCCATGTGTGTAGTAACAATTGAGCACAACATTTTGTGCATCACTGTATTCCTTTAATGAGATAGGCTCTATTCCATTACCATTTATGCCATAATTTAGTCTTGAAAGCGCTGCATGATGCTTGTTCTTCCCTTATTTATTAGTACCCTTAAATATTATTCTGCAAAAGACATTTATTGTGCATGGTCAGCTTGATGGCTTGGGACCTAGGTGACGTGTATTTTTCATATTATGCTGTAGTTTGAGTTCATGGATCCCAATTTAGAAAAGTTTCTGTGCTTTGCAACTGCAAAATAAATATATTGCGTTATTAACTGCAAATCCTACTAGGGGGCCAAGGAATATGCTATTGGGAAGATCTATGCATAACTGAAAAACAACTATTTTAAGGCATTGCACTACTTAGCAAACTAGTTTTAGCTGTTTAGCTGCATTCTTTGACAGATTTTTTTTTTTGCTAAATTTAAAGCCACTTGGGGTACCAAGGATTGTCTTTCTATATGTTTCTATGTTTCCTGCAAACTACTTGCATAATTTGAGGCCATGTTCCATGTTCCTCGGCTATATGTGGTATAAGTTTCAATTATGAATAATGACTTCTTGGTGGTTTCCATTGTTTAAAATGTATTTCTAGACTAAATCTAATTTATTGTCAATAATATATATTCTTTATGTAATTCACTTAATATCTGTTTATTCAAGATGCCTTTATTAAAATAAAAAATGAATTTTCTATGGTAATATCTGTTTAATCTTATTTATCTTTATTTTCTGTTTAATCATAAACTGCTTTTGTGCAGGAATCTTTACCTCTTTATGATTGGTTTATCATTTAATTATATGAGAGACCAACAATTTTAGTAATTTTCTTTTTGTATTTTTAATGTAAAATCAAAGTTTGTTTTAAAAACAACCCCACTTATGTACATTTTCCCAACCATTACTTTGGATGGAAAATTAATACGAAGCTTCAATGGATCTGTTTCATAAAATGTACTCTAATATTATGATGGTTGATACATCTGACAGAGAAATGTTTTTATACTCTAAATCAGGGGTCACCAACCTTTTGGACCTCAGGGACCACCAAACTCATAATTTTAAATCCCGTGGACCACTAATATGAATTTTGACTGATGGTGGCTTGCTGACAGTGCTTGCTGCAGAAAGCAGCAGGGATCCTGGAAAATCCCCCAAAAAGTATGCAGGAAAATTCCCCACTCCCTTTTTCCACCAATCGATCATTCTTTGAGATTGCAGGATACCGTCTCCAGCTCCGTTCTCAGGGGGAGAGAGAGAGAGACTTTTGGCTTCATGCAAGGAAAGCAGCAGAAGCAGTCTTTCTTTCTCTTCCCCAAACTCCTTCAGAAATGAGTCCTTGCCGGCACTGACTCTTGAAGCAGGATGTCTTGCAGGGTCCCAAAGACTCATTTCTGGTGGAGTTTGGGGGAGAGAAAGAAAGACTTTTGCTGCTTTCCTTGTGTACAGCCAAAAGCAGAAGAAGAAAGAAATGGAAAGCAGCAGCCCGGTGGCCAAGCCAGGTGTGAGTGGGCAAGTTCCCCCCCACCCTTTCTCCCCTCCTCCCACTACCTCATGTTGTTCGCAATGCAAGCGACGCAAGCCTTTTGTTCCCATGGGCCATGTGGGCAGCGCAGTCTTGTGTTCCTGCGCAGCCTGGATTAATTGCTTTGGGGGGTGCTTTGGGGATGACATTTCTCTGCGGACCACCAAAATTTTCTCGTGGACCACCAGTGATCCCAGCCCACTGGTTGGCGACCACTGCTCTAAGTTACAGTAATTGCATCAGGAAAATATAATAAAATGAAGAAAGAGATTTAACATTACAATGACATACCTTCTTGTGTGGTTTTTCCCCAACCAGCAATAGAGCATTTAGTGCCTGGCAAAAATTGTTTATTTTTTTCTGGGAAGCAAATGGGCTGAATATAATCTGTGTGAAAGAAATAAACAATTATACTTGCACTCTCCGGTCTTTGATGCTAACATTGCACAAATAGTTTTGCTGAAAAATAATCCCCAAAGAAATTTAGCAGGACTCCCACTTTTGTGATGATGATTATTGGAAATTACATGGAAAAATTTTAAAATATCTTAGATTTAGACCCTAATCTGTTAATAACATAAAGGCAAAGTTGCAGCAGAAAATCATTTTACCTGTGTAATTTACTCTAAATTGGAGATGTATCAAAGCGATGTCACTGTCTTTTGTTCGCTTATTATAGTGTGGATTGATGATAATCTGATCAATCTCTCGGCTCACTGTTTGAGGATATGATAGATTGAGATTTGTGTGCAGCCCAAGAAATGCTTTCCACCGAGATGGTTTTAAATTCCTCCTAAGTCAATATAACACATGCTTAAATTATGGTTTGAAATAGCTTATGAGATGTAATGTTTGTATATTTTAATATTTGAACCACATTGACACAATATGTTCAAACACAACTTTTACTGATTTCAGTATTACTGACAGTCAGGGATAAGCTTACATTTCCAAATGTTTTGGATGCCAATGCCACAATCTCTTTCCACCAGTCATGTATGTCAGGGATCAAACTTTCAAGGGTCCTCAAATTACTTATCCTGTCTTACATCTAATGTTGCCAAATTTATGGCAACTAGAGAGTAGTTTTTTTTTTAATTAAAAATAGAAATTAGTTTTGATCATTCTCACAAAAATGGATGAGGAGCCTATTTATCCTTTCAAATGTGTGACTGTCCAATGCCAGTAGTAGCAATATTCTATTCTATTTTCTCTTCCATCTATCATCTGCCACTAGCATAATATATTTAAGACAATATATACTGATAATAGGGATATAATGTGCATTATATATTAAAATAGATGTATACTGACTCAATATTATTAATATTGAACTTTATCCATTTCACATATTCCTTTTAATAAATGCTAAAACAGGCAAAACTCAAATTATATGTGGAATTGCTTAGACAAGCTACCAGCATTATTAAGTCAAACACTCCACTGAGTGAAGCTTCATTCTCAAAGATTTTATTGTCACTTCCATCTATATTATTTATCAGCAATATGGAAGTCCGTGATTTGTTTTAATGTCTCAGTGTAGCCTATAGCTTTTAAATTCCTTAAGGATCACTTCTCCAGAACAATTTCTCAAATTAGTCAATGTTGCTTAGGTGATACTTCTTGCTGTGAAATCAATGTATTTACCACATTTAATAAAGGGCTCACATTTTTACACAAAATCTATGTTTGTAATACACTGTAGAATTGAACAAAATATAGATTAAATTAAATTAAATTAAATATAGGTTCATTTCTGGGCACAGCCATCACAAATTTGAACATTATTTCCAGGTTTATTGCTTCACGTCCATGTATATTACTGTGTTGAATCACACTGCATCCTTAGGGAGATAATGTTGTACAATTTGGTGAATAAGTATAAGATGAATAAGATGAACTGTTTGATTATGAAAAATGTGTCTTGTTATTGAGGAATGATATGCCAGCAGTGATGTAGCTGAGACAGTGCAGAAATCTAATACATATGCAACAAGATAGCTCTGAAGAGAGAAAAGCTAATGGCCTTTATTAGGAGAAGAAGCAGCGCAGATTATGATAGAGAATCATACAAGTATCATAGAATATGCTAGCGCAAGCCTGAGTACCATTGTTGCTAATAACAAATATTGCAAATTCTTATGAGAAAAAAAATGAACATTTATTATTCATATTTACTTAGATAAGTTTCATATGGATGGTTAGGCTGCATTTCCTATAAGACATTCTTTAATCTCAAATCTGGTAACACTTCAGAGGAATACAATTGATTGTATATAAAATGGATCACTTAGGCTAATATAGCCTTTATAATGCAGCTAACTACATTACATTCTTGATATACTTATAACTATATTGTAACTAATGAGATGTAAGGTTGAAAGTAATTGAGGAATCACCATCCTTGGATTCCATTTTTAGTAATGAAATGCTTTGAATATATTAGTTATATTACGAGAAAAAGTTCATATTTTAATATGCTGTAGACAGCTTCTACAGTAGATAATGTGAATAGTGCTGATCCAGGAAAAATTTCCATATAGATAAATATTCAGAGGTGGACTTTTTTTTCTGGTTGCAGAACCAGTTAATAAATTCTGACCACCAAGATTTTCCTGTTTGCCTTTTGTATAAACCAGATATTTACAAGAAACTGCTGCTTCTTCTGATATAAGAGTGTTCATTACATTCCTCTCAGACATTTCCCATAGTTCATTGTCTCCAATGACAAATATTAGATAAATGAAGATAAATAAATTCCATGAAACTTTTCTAATGTAGATATCTTGTTCTTATTAATTTTAAATATTCTATCAATCTAACACATTCACATGTACCAGAGTTGATATAAGACAATCACATAGAGTTATTGCTGTGGAGAAAATAGAAATAAGAGGAAGGAGTATTAGGTATGTTCACCACCTTGAGTTTCCTAAAAAGTAATAAAGGCAGGGTAAAAATCTAATTAATATATGATAATATATTAATATATGATTGCTTTTATCAGAATCCAAGTTTGATCATTAGATTCAAGCAAATAAGGTCATTGGCTCAATGTGAGCTAGATTATTTAAGGAAATGTGAGGTAGATTATTTAAGGAAAGGACTGGTGCAAATGCTCCATTTCATGTAGTGGTACCTAGTTTGCAAAAATCAATACTATCAGATATCAGCAAAGAGATATATAATACTGCAATGCTTTCCTGTTTTTTTTTCATAGTGCTTCATATTTTTGCAGATATGATAGTAATGGGTTTTATTGAATAAGTATCATTCATAGTACTGGTTCTTTTCTTATGCACTGTTTTAAGGTAAAATCTTTTTTATGAAAGGTGTTTTTTAATTCATTTTGTATATTATTTTGGGAAAACGTACATTACATTTATTAATAATAGTAGTAGATGTTCAAGTGAACTATACGCTGAATCGATTGATTTAAGAAGTTTAAATATAACTCCTGCACATCCTTGTCGCTGATCTTCTCTTTACTATAATATGAGATATGTATCTTGTCTCTATCTTTTAAATTCTGACATCCATTTTTTTTAAAGAAGAATACATGAAGATATGGAATGTAAGAATTGTTGAATTCTGGAAATAAATTTTACCCATATACACAATGTGCAGCTGAGATTAGCCATTCATGGTTGATAAGAGAAGCTCCACAGGTTGGATTGTAATCGAAATACAGTGAGACTATCCAAGGCCAAGCACCTTCTTGAGCATCGGAACCACCAACAATTCTTGGTTGATATTTCTGGGTAATCATTCTTTTCCCACAAGCTACGGGTAAGGAAAATAAAAAGTGAAAAGGATGCATTCTGAGAAATAATATGCTAATTTCACCTACTCTGTAATAGGCACTGTAATAGTGTCCTTTTGCAAGCTTCTGACAAGCAAAGTCAATGGAGAAGCCAAATTCAGTTAACAACAATTTTATTAACTTAACAACTTCAGTGATTTACTTAACAACTGTGGCAAGAAAGGTTGTAAAATGGGGCAAAATTCATTTAACAAATGTTTCATTTAGCAATATAAATTTTGGGCTCAATTGTCATAGATTGAGGACTATCTCTATAAAAAACTTTTTCTTAGGTTGATATAGAAATATATAGAGATCTTAAACATATTTAAGGCCATGTACACACATATCTAGACAGATATAATGCTCAAAGTAACATTTTAATTAAATATTTATTACAATTAATCCTTAATGTTGAAGCCTTCTAAAAACTCAACAATATCATCTAATTTTTGGAATTTTTTAAGATGATATATTTAGTTTACCATGATTATTTTCTGTGAAAATATTGCTGGGTAAATAATATTTTTGTTATAAATTATTTCTGTTGTTATTGCAATTCCTATTCACTAATGAAAAGGGTATTGTTTAGAAATTCAAGGTATTAGAAAAAGTTAAAATTATCATGGGAAGATGAAAAATCAGTACAATTTTTGAGGGAATTTACAGATATCCTGACTTTCATTGTATAATCCACACTGAAGCAATGTTTGTCCTCCCTTGTTTTACATAGTTTAATAACTTAACATTTAAAACATTCTTATGAAACAATGAAATAAAAAGCTTTGTAAGATAAACAATATCAATATACCTTCTGAAATGATTTAAAACTATTTAAAATCAAAAGTGTCAAAGAAATATTAATCCAATTCTAAATTTCATTCTAAAAATGAAATAAATAGTAGTTGTGAAGTTTTAGCAACAACAACAACAAAAGATTGCAGCAAATTGTATAATATATATTTTAAGATTGCAGCAAATTGTATAATATATATATATGAAATAGATCTATCTGGATTTTTGTCTAATTGAGAAATGGCATTATAACAGCAACATGAAAAAGTACAACAAAATCTGTTCTTCCTCTCATCTTCCTTCCTGAGACACTAAATGCTACCTGTATTTTTTATTATGTTAATATATTTATAAATACATAAAGTGATGGGCCAAAATAGTGCAACAATACTATATTCTTAAAAACATAAATACATGAATAAATTCTGAAGGATCCTAAAAATGACATGAAAAATATTTTTTTCAGCAGGAAGAAAGACAACAACGTAAACAAAAAATGTAATGTATTGGGAAAAAATATAAATAGTTATCCTTTTATGTTGAATTTTTCATTTTTTGTAAACTTACATTTACCACTGCATTGCAAATGAATCACCAGATTATTCAAACACTTTACCCTAGAAAGAGAGCATATTTAATACAAATCAGGTAATAAAGTCCAGACACAAAGAATGTGTGTGTGTGTGTGAATGTGTATGTATGTATATATGTATGTGTGTGTATACGTATATATATATATGGTATTCAGCTTTGTTCGGGTATTTTCCCATGTCATTATAGTTGTGCTTTTAAAGTTGTAGCAACGTTTCGGCAGAATCTCATCTGCCATCATCAGGCTTCTTTATTGTATTCGTCTGTGACAAACGAACACAATACAGAAGCTGATGATGGCAGATGAGATTCTGCCGAAACGTTGCTACAACTTTAAAAGCACAACTATAATGACGTGGGAAAATACCCGAACAAAGCTGAATACCATACATACATACATACATACATACATACATACATGTGTGTGTGTGTGTGTGTGTGTGTTTATCATATATATATCATTCTGGCACAGCGTAGGCTAGCACCAAATTTAAAACAGAAACGCTTGTGAAAGTCTGACTCACAGACGAACCCAATACAGAAGCCTGATGATGCCAGATGAGATTCTGCCGAAATGTTGCTACAACTTTAAAAGCACAACTATAATGACGTGGGAAAATACCCGAACAAAGCTGAATACCATATGTCTATACGTATACACACACACACACACATACATACACAATATGAACATCTAATGCACAAACGTTTGTGAATTCTTTAGAAACCCTTCAATTAATTTTGACCCAAAATGAAAATTTGTTTTCAAAATAGCATACATGTAGCCTTCTTTCAAAAACTATATTGGAGGGAAAGTTGAAAACAAAAAAAATACAGTATATATGCAAAGCTCTTTGATGAATTGAAATGTTCTAAAATATGCCCTACTACTACTATTGCTTTAATAACATAAAAATTAAAAATTATACTCCTATATACTGTATATCAAATGCTATATTAATACAACATAGAAAATAGAAAAAGTAGGGTTGGAAGGGACCTTGGAAGTCTTCTTCTCTAGCCTCTTGCTGAACAGAAACCTTACACTCGGCAACTTTTCATATGTCAAGATAGATGGCAACACATAATTGACTTGGCTGATCTCAAAAATTAAGCAGGATCTACTCTAATAATGATTGTTAGGAAATATAAGGGTTGGTGTTTAGATGGAGAATTTGGTATGGGGTATATGAAAGCCTTTGAAAAAGAAGGAAAATGGCAAACAAATTCCACATTGTTGCCATATCCATAGTTATCTGCACTCAAGATTTACTTAAGAAATTCTATTACAACTGATTATTAATATCAGAATATTAAGTGCAGGACTCTTCAAACTTGACAGCTTTAAGAGTTGTGGACTTCAACTCCCAGAATTCCTCCTCCAGTCATGTTACCTCAAGTGGTTACAAGAACTCATTATTTTGACTCATATCAGTTGATGTTAGTGAAGGGACTGTTACTTTGTCCTAAATGTTCACTTATTCTGTAAATGTTTGTTAGTTTATATGGAAATATCAATACCTTTTGACAATTTTTACTCATAAATAATAAGAGAATTAATTTTATTTATTTATTTTATTTGGTTTGTCAATTGCTTACAAGATAATAGGTATAAGTAAAAACATCGTTATGAATACATGGATACATATAAGAAAAATAAAAGAAACAAAAGGACAGGGACGGTAGGCACGTTGGTGCGCTTATGCACACCCTCTACAGACCTCTTAGGAGCAAAAAGAAAAAGAAAAAAATTAGAAATCCCCACTTACCATATTTTCAATGATTTACTTATGCTTTCTTCACCATTTTAACTGTCATTTATAAAGCCTTACCTTGGTGTTAATATGAAGTTGCTGTTAGTTGTTTTTTTAACTTCGACAAATGGACCTGCCCCAGTAAACAAGACAGGAGATGACTTGTTCCCACTTCTAAAAGGAAAAACTTTCTTAAAACATATCCTTTTAATTATAATAAAATATAGATATTATTGTACTGTATTGTGTGGTTTAATAAGATAAAGAAATTACTTAGTAGATATATTTACAGCACATTCAGAAATGATTACTTTATGAAGAAATATGCAAAACTGAACAATCAAAATATGCCAATACTTCTACCTACACAAGGAATCAGAAAGAGAAACCTGGCATTTACCACAGTTTGGAACTTACTTTGGACTTGGGCTACAAATTTTGCAAACTGATGGCCAAAGTAGAGTTAGTTACTTGTTGATATTGTTCCTCCTATATCAAATTAAGACCTTGCATTTGTGAATCCACCTGTCTGATCTAGACATGGAAATATTGTAGCCAATTACATATGATTAAGAAGTCTGCAGAATAATAAAACTATACATGTGTTCATAAATGAACATAAGCATAATCTGCAAGCTTGGTTCCAATATAACAATGCTGGTATAGTAGTAGGGGAGAAAATTATAGGGGAGAAAAGGTAAATTGTTATAATTTAGATCTACAATTACCACTGTAATTATTCAATGTTAATATACAATGTTATAGTATTACACATAGAACTTAATATTTTATTCCTGTATATTGAGGAAATGAAAATATAGACCAATATTCTATATTGAATGTCAGAATAAATTTAATAGAAGTCATTAAAAAATTGATGAGATATCTTGGGAACTAGATAAAGCAACTATGAAAATACTAATGGCTAATAAAGCCAGTATTTGGAAGCTATTAGCTTCCTTTTTTTCATTCTCTTATTTTCTACAGGGATTTTTGTTTTGTTTTGTTTTGGTGTATGTGTTTGTTCTTAAAAATATTATTGCCAGCATTGTTGTTTCTGTTGTTATTTTAAAATAGATTTTTTAAATAGGAGAAGAAAGAGATTTCCAAGTTTTCAAAGCTATTCCGGATTTGACAGGTAAATTTCCATTATGTGTAGTAAACCTTCACTTATTTTATAAAATTTGTATTTCCAGTGAATGGCAGTTATAGATTTAATATTAAAGGACTAACAAAGAATAACTAAATGCATAATTTAATATATCTTATACTACAATAATAATAACAACATTCAGCATGTGCTGATAAACAGCCAAATTGTCTTCCATATCAACATTCTTTTTCCTGACTGAAGTGTAATCAAATTGACATTAAGCAGACATGCCTTAGTCCTTGAAGAAAGTTTCTGCTGCTGGAAATGCCACTGGGAAAGCCAGGTACATTATACATTATGCAAAACATTAGAGCTTTATATGTGCTCTTACTTCCAAACCTCCAAGCCAGTATTATATCTGTCATATAAAGTGTTATGGAAGAATTAGCTCTGAAAGAACATATAATCAAAAACTTTACTTACCCTAGTTTTAACAGATTGCAGATACTGGTTGATGATTCTTCTGTCCACTCATTAGCACAAACTGTAAACCATTGCGTCTCAATTTTGAATTGGACTAACCCATTGGAGCTGAGAGAACCATTGATCAAGTGCACTGTCATAAAAATAAGTTTTAATATTAGAACACTGATTGAGGATTAGTTTTATTCATAGCAATCTGTGTATGATCAAGTTCAAATTTAACAGATGTGAAAAGTCATGATTTGAACATCTTCCTGTTTTCTCTTTCCATATCCAAATCAAACACTGTAATAAAACTAGATTTTTAAATGATAATTGTTTTTAAAAATGCACTATTTTCTTAGCTCACATTGCTGTGTTTAATGCTGATTGTTCAATAGTTATTCTTGAATTACTTGGGATCCATATAAATAGTGTATTCAGCAATTGAGGACTCATGGGCCTTTGGATGATGAATACCTTATATAGTACACTTAGAAATGCTTAGATAATCCATAGGAAGAAGACTTTATTTCAGTAGATTAGTGCTTCCCAACCACAGCAACTTTAAGATGTATGGCAGGGGTCTTCAAACTTGGCAAGTTTAACACTTGTGGACTTCAACTTCCAGAATTCCTCCTCCAATTGTTAGCTCAGAAATTCTGGGAGTTGAAGTCTACAAGTCTTAAAACTTGCCAAGTTTGAAGACCCTTGATCTATGGACTTCAACTCCCACAATTCCTTAGTTAGCATGAGGTTGAGAAGCATTGCTCTACATGTTCCTAACCTATAATTTATTGTATCTCTGTAAGTACAGTGATAGATGGTATATAGGCAGAAATTGCATTAAGTAACTTGAAGATCTCCACAAAATCTTCACTGCTGATAGGACTAATAAGAAAATAAGAAAAGCTCACATGATTAGACATATGACCATACGTTTAAATGAGGTTTTTATCCAGTGATGGGATTAAGTCAGTTCGCACCAGTTCGGGAGGACCGGTTGTTAACTTTCTGAGCAGTTTGGTGAACTGGTTGTTGGAAGAAATCATTAGGGCAGAGAACTGGTTGTTAAATTATTTGAATCCCACCACTGTTTATATCTTTCACTTGGGTCTGAATGTTACAAATACTACTATCCAACCATACGTCTATTGGATCTGCATAAAAAGTTTATTCCACATACTGCAATTCATGTATTTAACCTGTAAAGAAAATTTTCCATAATGTTTCCAGTTTTTAACCATCGTGCTTGGTGTGCTTTAAGGATCTGTTATGAAAAGCAACAATAAAGTTTTCTCCCTCTTCACAAACACAGTGGGAGGCAAAATAACAAGTGAAGGTAAGATACCTGACAAGAAATGTCTTAAGATTTTTATACTAAGAATTAAAATATATCCAATGTGAGACAAAGAACTGTCTACAAATTTAAGCATCTATCCACACAAACCATTGACAGTTCTTATAGAGGGTTAACTGTTACTGCTATTACTTTTTTTTACCAGCTCTCAGCATCATTTTATCATTGGATCTGCATATACAATGTTGTGCGGAGTCTATTATTTTTAGTTTATTTAAAACAGAGCTTATGCACAGAACATTTGATTTTGTAAATAACTACTTTCACAGATGGTGCTGTGACAACAGCTGTCAGTGTTGTCAAAGTAACCTGCATCTGTGTTGTGAAACAATTGAAATGTGGCTTGTCACAGCTGTTTTATGCTCCTGTCAAACACTTTTACTGAGCTTACATTTGGTCCTAAATTTCCTTGAAAAGAAGATTAAGGATGCTTTTTTTGGGATGTGTTGAGCAGAATATATATAAGTCTGCACTGGCAGAAGCACCCCTACCCTTATGTACATAAAAAGGCCCTAAATCAAAATAAATATATTTTGGTTGCAGAGTATTTGACTGAAGTCCTCACTTACTAATATTTTCTATTTTCACTGTATAGAAAAAGAGTCCTTGGTGCTAATGATGTTACCTAGTTTGGATAATGAAATGTCTGCAACAAAACCATCAATCTCAGAGAGCACCAAGGATCCCACATTTCAACCCTGTGCTACAAATCACCATCTTCTTTTAATGACCCCGTAATCCCTTTCAGGGTAGAATCTGGGCAACTGAATGGAGTTGAGCGGTTACTGACAGGATGCCCTTCCTGTCACCAGTTAAGAGTTATATTCAGCAGATATATTCTCAACATGCCCAGAGAGATAAATATCTGCCTCTACCTAGAATTGATCTCACAGCCTCCTGATTGTGAGGTGAGAACTTCACCTATAGGCCACTGCACCATTCAACCCTGAGCTACAAATATTCTCCTTCATTAGAAAAGGAGAGGCACACAAGCAGGTAAAAGAAAACAATGTACAGATTTCCCTTTTTAAGTGAGATGGTTGGGTAACCTCTTTTCTAAAAGATTAGTCCCCTCTCTAAAAGGGATCTGTGACTCCTCAAAAATCTTTCCTGCCCACTTTATAATAGCAGCTTTCCAGCATGTGGTTGCTGTAATGTGTAGGCTTTTCTTTTTTCTTTTACATTCCAATTCTTTTATTCAAAACTTTGCCATTCATTCACATAAAAGAACATTTCTTTCTTTCCTTCTTTTACATACAGAACCCAAGGTACATTTGGGATTTACTTTACTGTACAGCAGGCTTGTGAGGAGTGCTTATCCCTTTGAAAATAGTTACCTTCCCTGAATTTAGAATTATAAATGATTTTTCGTATTTATAAATATTTACCACAATCTGCTTCATCAGAATTATCTTTACAATGCTGGAATTGATCACAAATCTGAGCCTGGGGTATACATTCTCCACTTCCACACTGATAATAATTCAGTCCGCATGAAGCTGTTAATGAAGAAGATACAGAATATTATGGCCTATGAAAATTAGCTAATAAATCAGTAGTTTTTATGAGGTTTTTTAAAACACAAGCACATTTTTCATATCTCATACATAAGGTAAAATATTTCACATATCTTATATATTATTCCTGATGATGGAGGACCCAAAAGAGTCAAGCAAAAACTTACTACAAGAAATAGAGGCATTTGGCAAAGTAGCAGGACTTAAAATGAGTAAAGAGAAGACTAAGATAATAACAAAAAATTGTACTAAAAGGCAAAATAAGGAATTGACAAGCGAACTAGGGATTCAGACAACAAAAAGAAATAAAACATCTAGGAATTTGGCTCACAGCAAAGTGTTCTACAATAAAGGCTGATAACTATGACAAATTAATAGATCAGATACAGAAAGACCTAGACAGATGGGCAAACCTACAAATCTCTTGGATGGGAAGGATAGCCACCATTAAAACCAATGTATTACCAAAATTGTTGTATTTCTTTCAAACTGTGCCAGTCAAACTGAAGATTTTTTTTTTCAAAGACCTGAATAGAAGAATTAGTAAATTTATTTGGCAAAAGAAAAAAGCAAGAGTAAAATATAAATTAATGCAGGATACTAAAAGCAAGGGAGGACTGTCCCTTCTAGACTTCGAGCTATATTACCAAGCTGCAGAGAATACTTGGATGAAGGATTGGATTGGAGGACAAAAGAATATTGACAATAGAAGGTTTTGATCTACAGCTTGGCTGGCATGCGTTTCTTTGGGATGGGAAAAACAGAACCCATAGTTACTTTCAAAAACCTTGGATAAGAGACGCCCTATTATGTGTATGAGAGGCAATAAAAAAACACTATGTGAAAATACCTCTCTGGCTATCTCCAATGGAGGCATTAATACACTGCTCAAAAAAATAAAGGGAACACTTAAACAACACTGTGAAATCAAACTGTCCACTTAGGTAGCAACACTGATTGACAATCAATTTCACATGTTGTTGTGCAAATGGAATAGACAACAGGTGGAAAGCATAGGCAGTTAGCAAGACTTCCCCAATAAAGGAGTGGTTTGCAGGTGGTGACCACAGACCACTTCTCAGTTCCTATGCTTTCTGGCTGATGGTTTGGTCACTTTTGAATATTGGTGGTGCTTTCACTCTAGTGGTACCATGAGACGGAGTCTGCAACCCACACAAGTGGCTCAGGTAGTGCAGCTCATCCAGGATGGCACATCAATGTGAGCTGTGGCAAGAAGGTTTGCTGTGTCTGTCAGCGTAGTGTCCAGAGCGTGGAGGCGCTGCCAGGAGACAGGCCAGTACATCAGGAGATGTGGAGGAGGCTGTAGGAGGGCAACAACCCAGCATCAGGACCACTACCTCCACCTTTGTGCAAGGAGGGACAGGAGGAGCACTGCCAGAGCCCTGCAAAATGTCCTCCAGCAGGCCACAAATGTGCATGTGGCTGATCAAACGATCAGAAACAGACTCCATGAGGGTGGTATGAGGGCCCGATGTCCACAGGTGGGGGTTGTGCTTACAGCCCAACACCGTGCAGGACGTTTGGCATTTGCCAGAAAACACCAAGATTGGCAAATTCGCCACTGGTTCCCTGTGCTCTTCACAGATGAAAGCAGGTTCACAATGAGCACATGTGACAGACGTAACAGAGTCTGGAGACGCCATGGAGAACATTTTGCTGCCTGCAACATCCTCCAGCATGACTGGTTTGGCAGTGGGTCAGTAATGGTGTGGGGTGGCATTTCTTTAGGGGGCCGCACAGCCCTCCATGTGCTTGCCAGAGGTAGCCTGACTGCCATTAGGTCCCGAGATGAGATCCTCAGACCCCTTGTGAGACCATATGCTGGTCGGTTGGCCCTGGGTTCCTTCTAATGCAAGACAATACTAGACCTCATGTAGCTGGAGTGTGTCAGCAGTTCCTGCAAGATGAAGGCATTGATGCTATGGACTGGTCCGCCCGCTCCCCAGACCTGAATCCAATTGAGCACATCTGGGACATCATGTCTCGCTCCATCCACCAACACCACGTTGCACCACAGACTGTCCAGGAGTTGGGGGATGCTTTAGTCCAGGTGTGGGGGTAGTTCCCTCAGGAGACCATCCGCCACCTCATCAGAAGCATGCCCAGGCATTGTAGGGAGGTCGTACAGGCAGGTGGAGGCCACACACACTACTGAGCCTCATTTTGACTTGTTTTAAGGACATTACATCAAAGTTGGATCAGCCTGTAGTGCTTTTTTCCAATTTAATTTTGAGTGTAACTCCAAATCCAGACCTCCATGGGTTGCTAAATTTGATTTCCATTGATAATTTTTGTGTGATTTTGTTGTCGGCACATTCAACTATGTAATGAACAAAGTATTTAATAAGAATATTTCATTCATTCAGATCTAGGAGGTCTTATTTTTGTGTTCCCTTTATTTTTTTGAGCAGTGTATATCCTAATGCCATGGATCTGAATAAAACAATAAAATACCAAGAACTCATAACAGATGAAGGTGACCTGAAGTCACAGATGCAACTAAAAACACAAGGAATTGAAATTGGGTGGTGGCCGTACCTCCAAATTCAAACAAAATATAAAAAAGACAAGAAACAATTTGGATTTTACAACAAAGAACAGGAACTAGACAAAATATTACAAGGAAGTAAAAAAAATGATTACTACATTATACAATTGCTTATTGGAATTTAAAATGGAAGAGGAAATGGTTAAGGAGAATATGATAATATGGGCTAAAAATTGCGGTCATAACATCCACTTAGAACAATGGGAACGAATATGGCAAACCAACTATAGATTAATGTTATCAGTATCATATAAAAATAATAACTATAAAATGTTCTACCGCTGGCACCTTCCACTGGCAAGATTGGCAAAAATGTTTCCCAATATGTCACCCAAATGCTGGAAGTGCAATCATAGCCAGGGAACGTATTTTCACATGTGGTGGACATGCCCCAAAGCTCGAAAATACTGGTCTAAGATACAGGGATGGTTGGAAGAGATGACAAAATTAAAGATCAAACTCAATCCAGAGACCTTCTTATTGGGAATATTAGAACTGTCATGGAGTAAAAAACAACAGCATCTAATACTACACATCATCACAGCAGCAAGAATAGCCTTTGCCCAAAATTGGAAATTAACAATGGTACCCACAGATCTAGCAGTAATCAACAAAATTTACCAATGCGCAGAAATGATTAGATTAACTATGATATTAAAAAACAAGGAAGAGGGAGAATTTTTTACAACATGGAATACATGGTACAAATGGTAAAATGAAAAGGAAATAAAGATATATAGTGAAAATGATTAAAGAAATATCATGGAACCACAGAAATAAGGATAAATGTATAGCTATGTATATATGTATAGTATAGCTATGTATATAGGTGTAGTAGTGTAGTAACATAGAAAAACAAACAATGTATCACGACATATTAATAACATAGATAAGGAAGAAATTAGGAATTAGATTTAAGATATTTTTGTAGTAAATGATTTCAATTAACACTAATAGAGATGTACACTGTTATGAAAACACTGTAAAATGTGAGAACGTGATTCTCTTTTGAAAATATTTTTTTTCTTGAATAAAAACAAATAAAAAAATAAAAATGAATCAAAGAGAAGACACTGGAATTGAACAATTATTTTCTCTCTGTTCTTCGTTTCCTATGCTTTTATGTGGTATGTGGTATATGGGAAACTCACCTGGCATGCCAAGATGATAACCTGTAGTAAAATTGGCTACAAATCCTTTTCTGGTTGCAGATTTGTCCGAAAAGAAGAGCACAGTCATTTGGTGAGTTGTAGAGAATATATCTGGCAATGGGGATTTTCCAGTATATACAGCTTTATAGCAAGGAAAAGTATATCATTATTCCAAAGATAGTATAATTTTGTTACACATCAGAATGATAGAAAATAAAATACCTAAAGGACAGAAAAAGGTCTCCTACTTTTTTCATCCATATTTAGATGGATGAATGAAGCTTAATCTGGGAAAAACAAATGAACAAACCAATACTGATTGAAACTTTAAATAGTTTGACAAATGCTAAACCTTAAATGTTCTTTACTCATAGATAATATTGAATGTAGTGTAACTTAAAATATGCACTTGATTTAATGTTTGGATTGGAAATTTTATGTGGACTGTATCCAGGCTGTATAATATATCAGAAATATTGATTTTCTATTAGAGTTCTCTCTGAGAACTTATCACAACTTCCAGGAATCTTTGCATATCATATGGCAAATGGCACAATGATGCAACAATGGATGAGAAAGAAAATATTCACACCACAATCTTCTTAATTTCCCCAATACTGCAACTTTGTTAACTTAAATTAGATTATATCAATCAACATAAAAGTTTAATTATATGTAGGAAAGTATATCACATTTTATCTGCAATATTATTGTTAGTGGACATTTTTATGAATGAAAATGATATTGTCACATTCAACTCATGGAATTTACAGATTTCTGGAATTGTTAAAAACACTGTATACTGTATATCAGAAGTGTCAAACTTTATTTCATTGTGGGCTGCATCAGGGTTGTGTTTGAACCCAGATGGCTGGGGCAGGGCATGCCTAGGGGGCATAGTGAATGTGGCTGGGGTGGGCATGGTCATAGTATGCGTGACACAGGACTCATGTTGAGGGGCACCTGTGGTGTCAAGTGCTAAGGCAGGACTTCTGAGACCCTCCCTCACTTTCATATGCAGGTAATCCTTGAGTTATGAATGTAATAGAGTCTGGCAATTACATTTGTAACCCAATGATTTGTTTGATTGAATCACATTAAATGAACATGATCACTCCCTGCTTTCTCCAATGCATTTGTAAATCAAATGAGCAGTTATCTCAGAGTGGGGAAGAACATACAGGGCCTAGAGCTGGAGCAGGCCATCCAAGGCCTCCCCAATCCACTAAGATACCTCATACTCCCATGGGGTCCCCACAATTGCTTCCTCCATCCTACTCCACTGGGTCCCCACAGACTGGGCCTGCTTTGCTGGTGTCCAGGATTCCACTTACTCCTGCCCACCTCATTTCCCATGGATTACTTACTTTTTGAAGATTTCCAGAGCTCCAGAAGAGGCTGACCAACTGGCAGAGAAGCAAAGTGTTTTATTCAGATGATGGCAAAGCTGTAAGAATGTGAAATCTAAGGAAAAAATTTTCACCAGCTTCTGAGTAAAGACTTTGGCTGGAGGTCATGTGGCTGCCCAAAAGGCCCGGACTGAGCCACAGCAGCCTCTTCCTTCAGAAATCGAGCCAGCAGCAGCAGCCAATCAACAAGAAGCTTGCTTCCTTTGTCTTATTGGGTTGAACTGCAAGCCCCTTGTTGATTGGCTGCCATACCCCAATGCCTGAAGCTGCTCATTCAAACTAGCCAGCAGCAGCAAGCAGGAGGTTGCTTATCACCAGCCAGACTAGGCCCAAACTAAGCCTGCAGACCCTCATGGCAGAGAAGGTGGTCTTTTATTTAGATGGGAAAAGCTTTTTCTTACATCACACCTTCTTACAGTTTCACAGGCTTCTGAATAAAAGACTTTGGCTTATCTGCCACATGTGTCAGCCAATTCTGGAACTCTTCAACATGTAAGTATAGTAAAACCGTGGAAAATGGGGTGGGGAGGGCCGAATCTAGCCCATGGAGGATTTATTTTGTCCTGTAACAGGCTGAGGGAGGCCTCTAGAGGCCTGAACAGAGCTCAGAGGGCCGGGTGCAGCCCATGAAGACTCCATTTCAGCCAGACATGGCTTGTAGAAGCCTCTGGATGCCTCCACAGTCTGTTTTGGCAGGCAGAGTGCTGCAGGAGGCCATCCAGGCCAAAAATGGGCTGCGAGGGATGCCGCTAGCAAAGGCACCATGGGCCCAGTCCTTTGCTATTTCCAGGCTGGCCTTAAAGGCTGGATATAAGCGCTTTGAGTTTGATACCCCTGCTGTATATTTTTCACTGTGTACTCTTTAAAAGTACAGCATAATTAGAGAAGTATTCTAATTTGTATAATTTTTCACACATACTGATATATTTTATATACTTGCCTAAAAATAAAGACTCAGTTCCTCTACCATCTCTGACTTCTACGACATCATAAATATCCTCTAAATTGAAATACTGGAAATGAAGTTGAATATTTTTTCCTTTTTCTGCATTCAAATACCATACACCTAAAATTATAAAATTTAAGATAGAAACAAAACCAAAAATACTGATTTGTCAATAGTTTCCATAAAGTAGCAGGTTACATAATTAGTTGTCATCATAATTATTTTTATTAAGATCCACTTTTTATATGTTAAAACACTTCCAATACAATCCCAAAGTATAATGGCATTACAACAGTTTAATACATTGTTAACAATTCTCAATATGACATAGCCTTATGGGTTATAGGTTACTAACTTAGTTGTTAAAAAGGCAATTTCAGGAAGATAACCAGAATTATTTAACCATTGATGGGTGGTTGGGCAGTGAGTTAGTTGAGATTCTTCTTAGCATTTGCACCTTAAAAAATATATTCTGGGATTCCAAGTTCACCTGAGGCACAATGGCCACAACTAGCCAGAGATGTTGTTCTTATCACTATTATTATGTTACTACTATTATTATTTCTCACTAATGTTGCGGTTATTCAAATCAGACTTCTTTAATATATTCTGCAAATTTTAAATTTATCATTATTATTATTATTATTAATATATTCTAACATTTTGAGCAAATTCAGAAGAGGTTGATTAGAAATAGTGTTCTGATTATTTTTAATGTTAGGTGTGCAAGGCGATAGGCTTCTTCTTAATAGTTCTTCCATTACACAGAAGTATAAGAGTATATAACAAGTACATAGAAAGAGACAAATTTGGATTACACTAAAGACTTAATTACTCCAACTTTTGGGGACAATTTAGAGACACCTTTCCTATTTATCTTTTCTATATGTTTTCTTTCAGATTTTCAGCCTCCTCACTCCAAGTTTTTAACTCTGCTACTTGGAAATAAAAAGTATGGGATGAAATATGTGGGAATGATAAATGGGCTGAGAGGTTGTGCAGTGGTTGATGATGCTTGATAGGAAAAGGATGCAGAATGATGTGATTTTGGTTAGCAAACGGATAATCAAGGGGCCAAGATTGGAGGCAGGTGATGCATGAAAGATGGCACAGATTCTTTTTCTGCCCACTACTTTGGAATAGTTGCAGCTGTGTTATGAGAAAAAAATGGGGTGATAAATTTCCCGCTCTGAACCAGAAACAGTAAGTGAAGTGAATAGACTTTTTAAAAAGATTGGAAGCCCTACATAGACTTTTTTTCCTGAAAGAAAATATTTTTCTTTATCTTTTTTAATACTGTTATTTTATGTATAATTCTAATTAACAAATTTTAAAAAGAAGAAACATTAAGTGAAATAAGATAGCAAATCCTGGAGTAGAACACAGGAAATCTGATGAATCAAGGTTCTAGCAGCAGTAAAGCTTTATAGGAGGGTGTCCAAAAGAGATTGACCAGTGGTTATTGATAGGTAGTATTTTCATGTTAGAATGAAGTAAACAGTGGGCTTCATGGTATAGGGTGGGTTTGTTGCTCCTACTGAGATAAGATCAGAGGAGACTATGGCATCTAACAAAGCTGTCTTGTAATTGCCAAAGAAAATGGGTAATTGGGTGAACTGTCTAGAAAAAAGGGGACCTACAATTTTGTAAGATTCTCTCCTTTTGGTCCAATTGTTTGTTTCATGGAACTAGATCACTGGATCATTTTGCCTCAATTTTTTTTTGCTTTTTAATGCCAGATGGATAAAAAGAGCACATCCATTTACCATTTGTTGGTGGATATGATGAGCTGCCTATATCATTGACTCCTAGTTACATGAGAATGGGGATCTAGCTTTGTCCAGTTTGCTTTTTTAGGCTCTGGCTGCTACAACAGCTACAACAAATCAGAAAATGAGACATAATGAGAATTTTCTTACATTTTTACAATAGCATGTGCTCCTTTAAAAAGATCATAAAAAGTATAATCTTTGTTTTAAAAAATGATTAAAATTTTATTGAACGTGAAGTCAAAAGCTTCTAATGAACCTCAATATGATCTTCAATAATTCATATTTTTAAGCAAACGTCTAAAGTTTTGAAGACATGTAACTTACAAGACGCTTTATTGGGGTAGTTGTTTGGGTAGTTCATTGAAGTAAATGTAGTGTTTGGTTCCCACAAATCATATGGACCTCCACAATCAGCTAGAAGAAACAAAATAGATCAGAGATGGCAAACCATTGATTTTTGGACAGCCAAAGATCTGCATAGGTCAGTTGCTTACTGAATTAAAAATTAAGACTCAATGTTTTAACCCAAATCCTTATCCCTATATCTACCTATATACTTCTGATGTCCTTATTTCATCTTTTGAATGTTTCTAGTATAGGTGACAGGCCTTATGTATCATTTAACCTATAAGTATTTAAAAATGTATACACACATGTTTATGAGAACTTTCATGATTTGCTATTAAATATTTCCAAATTCAACAACATATGAATTCTGTTTGAGGAGGTAATGAATCATATAATTTTATTGTGACAGATCAATGATTCTTTCCCTAAAGGAAGCATAATGTACAGGTTTGGTATTTCTTGGGACTTCGGAAGAGAATTATATTTCATGACATCATGCATATTCCTTACCTTATACAATTTTGTATATAGAATGTTCTTTTAACTGAGAGATTGGTTATCGTTGTATTCTTTGTATGGCTATAAATAACTTTGTTACAGATCTTCAATTGTTTTCCTTCCTTATGGCTAAAGCTTTTCCTACAGCATTACTAGTATAGGTGGATATGTACTAGAATTCTAGCTTCATTTAATGTCTTTCACATTCCCATTATAACTGTAGAATAGTTTCAAATAAAATATTGCAAACTGTAAAATTAGACTTTCTGATTGCAGCTCCTAGCTTTTGAAGCTTGTATTTATTTGTTCTTTGAAGGTACTATGATATGTTCTGATATGCAGCTGTTTTAGAATAGGTAATCTTCAACATAGTGGAGTTTTTGTAATTAATTAAACATTTTGCTAAGGTATTTTGTAATCAATGCACACAACATGCTTTATGAATTTGAAAAAGTCTCCACTGGTCCCAAAAAATTTAAATTGGGTATTTGTTTTCTTTAAAACTAGGGAAAGAGCTACATCATCTAATTATATGATTCTACTGTTTATGTATAATGCTAAAAAGTTATTATTAGCATTTAAGAATTCATAGCAACATGGAAACATCAAATGATGTTTTAAATTTTAAATTTTAATTTAAATATACAGGCAGAAACTGGGTATCTGCAAAAGAAAGCTGGTATCTTAAGAGAGTTATAATGGTTCTAGGGAAAAAATGAACCAGGATCACAACACTAATGACCCAAGCAAATTGACTAGATTTTCTGCTGTCTATATACCAAATAGAATAGCTTATCATTATCTTAAAAATGAACTATGTTTTAAGATAATTTTAAAGTATAATTTTACATTAAACAGCTCACTGAGCATGGCATCTTTTTATTCTTGCTCTAGCAAAATATATTAGCAGCAATTGAGATACAGATGGGCTGAAAGAAGTACTTACAGGATCTGCCATTATGCTTATAATGCTGCCATTAAATTTAATGATAATTTGATGAGTCTGGGTAGAAAAGATTTTCTGTTATAATACTGCTTCTTGCAGCCTGTTACACTCTTTTATTAGGCTATGTTGTCTCAGCTGCAGAACATCATGTAATGAAGAAAGATTGAGAGTTGCTTATTCATTTCTGCAATGAAGTCTAGTGTAGAGCATTATGCTTTAAAAACTCTGATGTGACAAGCCAGAAGTGAGTGGAAGAATTTCAAGTTTTAGTGCTTTCAGAGAAGGTGTTGTTTCTGTATGTCTTATTTGCTTGTAGGTGAATGTGTATGTTATTAACATTTCAATTCTCTTTTTAAAAAACTGATTAAAAATAAAGAGTGACAAAGATAAAATGAACCTTGTTCTTTACTATTAGTATTTTGTTAGTATTTTAGTATTTTGTATTACAGATAACAAAATATGATGTATCAAAGAATCAGTTATATATTGACTACACTGCAAAAATCTTTATTTTTGTTTGACTTTTAGTTTGTGACCCTATACAAAGAACAGAACATGGATAATCATGCTTTTTGTTTGTTCTATAGTACTATTATTTTTACCTTCAAAAATAGCAATATAACTAGCTACTAATGTATATCTGAGATCCAGTTTGGTCTAGTGGTAGAGGCATCAGGCTAGAAACCAGGAACTCTAATTTCTAGTCCTTTCTAAGGCAGAAACCAACTGGGTTGCCTTGGGCCAGTCACTCTTTCTCAGTTCTAAGAAACAGACAGTGGCAAACAACTTCTGAAATTCTTGCCAAGAAACTTCAGAGTCTTATCCAGGGACGCACTAGTAGTTTGGTAATTGTCACACTGCAACAACAGAGTCTAAGAGTATGACATGCTGCAAGGCAAAGCTGCATATTCTAGCAAGTTCTAGCATTTTTTTTGTACAAAGAAAGATTTCTGAGGAATTAGTTTATTTTTCTAGAAACTAGACGAGACTGAATGCATCCATCTTAACCACAATAATCGTATATCTTACGTTATAAAAGACAGTCCTTTTCAGAAAGACAACTTGTTCAGAAAGCTGTTCCTTAGATTTATTTAACTATTTTTTTTGGTTTTGCTTCTGTAAAGCAAAATTATAAACATTTTTTTAAAAAACCTTATTAACTTTCTTCAGATTTGACCTTTGTCAGATTTATCTTTTATTTTTTCCAAGCCATTTTGTGAAGAAACACATTTCCTAATGAAGCTATTTTGTATATTTGATGTGGTTGTGGTGATTGTTAGTACCCCGCCCTCTTTATCTATCTATCTATCTATCTATCTATCTATCTATCTATCTATCTATCTATCTATCTATCTATCTATCTATCTATCTATCTATCTATCTATCCATCCATCCTACTATACTTAGACACCCAGTTTTTATGGCTAAAAGAGGCTTGGAGTCTCCTGGTTTCTAGGCCAGCACTATAACAACCGACTCTGTTGAACTTAAAAGTTATATACTCAATGAACTGAGTATTTCCATTTCATTTATATGGCATTAACCTGTACAAAAAGTCAATAAAAATAAAAAAGAAAGTGAAAAAGGACATAGTTTTGATAAATATTAATATTAATGTGTGGAAAAATGGAAAATATGGCAAATTTTTCAGGTGCTTATATTACAAAATCAACACAAGTTAATAATTTTTTTGGTAAGTTAGCATTGGCAGTTAGTAGATTACCATCAATATCTATTCAGATAGTCTAGGCTGAATTCAGATTGCTTTTATTGGCTGCTTTTATTGATACAGACTTAATATCATGGCTTTATAAAATATGAGAAGTTAGTTATTCAGTTATGATACACTAGATTTCCAATATTTTAATATGAGAAAAGTGTTTAGCTGCAGAAAGAAGATAATAAATTATAGTCAATTTTTGCAGCATATAAATTAGGGTTAGCAAAGAATAATGCAAACAAGTTGATCTGCTTCTGAACTTCATTAGCAGTGTCATGACCATACATGCCTGAACTTTTGTCCTTTTGTCCTTTTTAACCTTACCCCTATTTGCTAATTTACTGTGCATTTATTAGATAAGTTTAATATCATCTCCTAAAATTGATAGCATTAGGTCCATACATCATCAGTTATGTGTCTTTCAACATTAAGCACTGCAGTAGTCAAATCTGGAAATAAATGAATTTAATTAAGGCTCCTTAGTTCTTTGCTTAAATCATCTGCTGTGTGTCATAATATTTACATCAATGATCTATATCTACAAAATAATGCAATATATAGATTGTCGTCAATATGTGATGTTGGTTGGGTATCAGATTATTAATAGTGCCAGTGGATTCAAGGCTTATTTAACATTTTATGAAATTGGGAATAAGGACTGTTGTGTTGTGAATTCTTTTCTGGATGACTTGATTACTGTAAGAAGTTTATATGGAAAAATACTATTCATGGCCTGGGATGTAACGATAACTAGAATTTCTATAAAAAACATATAGCTGCTGCCATATTGCCATATTTTTTCATATCATGTCGTACATGATTCTCGACTCTTGATGAATGCATCTTTTCTTTTATGTATACTGAGAATATTTACACGAAGATAAATTCCTTGTGTGTCCAATCACACTTGGCCAACAAAGTATTCTATTCTATTCTATTCTATTCTATTCTATTCTATTCTATTCTATTCTATTCTATTCTATTCTATTCTATTATTGATGAAAAAATAGTTCTGACCACCAAACTGTTACTGATAGTAGTATAACATTTTGCATCTCACCCTGAATGCAAAAAGGTAGAATAAAGCAATAAATTAAAAATGTGAAATGAAGCTAAGCATTAAATCTGGCAAAAATATCAGTCCAAATTTAGAGTCAAGAATACTTTTATAATTTTTAATATAAATGGCAATTAGTAATATATAGTACAGATAGTCAACTGATGGCCACAATTAGGATTGGAACTTTCACCACTAAACAATGCAGTAATTGAGTAAGTAGTGCCTGATTTTACAATGTTTTTGCCACAGCCATAAATTAAAATCACCATAAAATTAGAATCTCCACGATTGTTATTCACACAGACATTACGCAAATCTAGGCTAACCATTGATTTTGCTTTGAGGAAGCCCCCTGGAAGGTCATAAATGGAGATTACGCAACTCTGAACCACTGCAACTATGGTAAATATATGCCAAATATGCCACAAGTGTGACCATGGAAATGCTGCTACAGTTAAGTGCAAGCCTTATTGTAACTTCAAATAATGTTAAATGTTAAAGTAAGTCAAGGACTACTTGTAATGCTAATGAGATTCCTGTTTGCTTACTACTTAATAAAATGAATCACTTCCTTGCTGGTTGCAGCAAATATGAAAGATTCAAATAGAACAGGACAACATAGGAATATATGAAGAACAAATACTAAATATTTTATTGTTTTTCCTTTTTACTGGAAGTCTGTTTTGCAGTAATGTTGACTTCAATATAGATTGATAATATTATAATTAAGAATTAATAATGACTTACTTGGTAGCAGAAGTGTTGTAGGAACCAAAGTGGGTTCTGGATACATGCTTTCAGCACAGGCTCCATTTAAAAGCCCTATATCATCAATGGCAATATCATGCCAACCTGGTATTTTAAAGGCTTCAAAAGCAACCTATAAACAAATGTTATAGAGTGAGAAACTTATAATGAATGAATATTTTTATTATGGCCACTGACATTAAAAATCAAAATGAAGCAAAAACAAAACAAGATAAAATGTTACAATTGGTGATGGGTTTTATCAGTGGCTAAAAAAGCTTGCCTAATTGAAGCAAAATTTAGCCACATTCCAAGAGATTGAATCATCTGATAACAACTGAACTGGTGTTTCCCAGGTGTTTTACAGGCGAGGAATTATAAGGTGAGCTCTTGACTCCTGAAATTGGGAAACCTAAAGCAGTATATGAGCTGCAGTCTCAACAGCTTCTTGTTCATAGGGTTACAATTGAAACTCATAGGGATCTTGTAATATTGGCTCACCAAAAACGCTGTGGGGATAGCAGTGAAGCTTGATAAATTAGTGTGGAATTTGGAAGAAGTCAAGTGGTATAAATATTGGCTTATAAAAAGGGGCTTGACTGCAGAGAAAAGCATTTCTTACTCTATTTTAAATTTAGTGATAAATCCAGATACATTATTAGGAAGAAAATTGAGAGAAGAACTGTGTTCATTAATCAAATATATATTACTGCCCATTTCATGATAAGTTCATCCAGTATCTTAGTTAGACACCCTTTTATTTTCCCAAGCATTTAAAAACACATTTATCATTTATAGAAGTAATTGTTTTATAATATTACTAATATTAGCACTATTAAGTAGCTTTTATTATTACTGTGCTATTGATGATTATGCTGTTTTGGAATGCTTTTGCTATTGATATCATTTGATGTTTCAAGTCAAAAAAGAAATGAACTGATCTGTACATTATTTGAAACTGTTAGTGGATGTATGAGAATGCAGAAACAAAGTATTAATATCTATTTCCTATTGATTAATCCTGCATATTTTTATTTAGTTGCTATTTCAATAATCAATTCAATCATGCTATGAAGTAGATCGATTCAATTCCTTTTTAACGATGGTTATTTTGTATAACTTATTTTTTAGGGAAAAATCCAGTTAAAAATGGCACATGGAAATATATTGCTCTTACCCATGTTTGGTATTTTGAATTCATTTCCTAACCACAACCATACTAAAATCTGAAATATTAAACTTATACAAATGGATAACAAGAAAGAATAATTCTATATATTTATAATACCATTAAAAGAAAGGGCATTTACTTCAGCCCTTTTTTTTTTTTTAACCCAACATCTTGCATGATTAATAACATAAAGAATAGAAGGTGTATTGAATATGTACATCCTACATTATCTGTAGATATCTGATATGTAAATATCTCCTACTTGTCTCACTATCTGTAGGCTTGTCCAGGAACATAGATCTTGATCTTTGTATATTTGCTGATCAGTTTTTTCCTACTTCTGTAAACATTTCATTTTCTTATGATAATTTATCTACTGAATATTCTTCATCAGAACAGGTTTGGGACTCTTGCCAGGCATATATACTTTAAGTACTCATGCTGGATGAGTTATGTGAGAAAGATTGAGACATTTAAGAAGTAAACTAGACAGCTAATCATTCTATATTTTTGCAGCTGTTACAACAATGTTGAGATTCTGTTTATTTAGAATCTACATATTAAATGACAATAAAACATGTATTAAATTGGAATTAAGAATTATAAAAAGAATGGACTATTAATATTGGATTATTATTTTATATGTGGAAATGATTGACAGCTTCATTAACCTATGGTAACTTTGTAAAATATGAATGCATATAAGTAAAATTGATAGTGTATATTATCAGAGCATTAAAAATTTACTTTTATTAATGACTAAGACAATAATGATTTATATCAAGTAATATTCAAGAAAACTTATGTTTGAGTTAAGATATTTTACATTATATTTCTAAATATAATGAAAACCTTGAATTACGCCGTCTTCGGTCTGATTTAAGCATGGTATATAAAATCATACATTGCAATGTCCTACCTGTCAATGAATACTTCAGCTTCAACCATAACAACACAAGAGCACACAATAGATACAAACTCAAAGTTAACCGCACCAAACTTGATTGCAGGAAATACGACTTCAGCAATAGAGTGGTCAATGTCTGGAATACTCTACCCGACTCTGTAGTTTCTTCCCCAAACCCAAAAAACTTTAACCTTAGACTGTCTACTATTGACCTCACCCCTTTCCTAAGAGGTCTGTAGGGGGCGTGCATAAGCGCACCAACGTGCCTACCATCCCTGTCCTATTGTTTCTCTTATTCTTCTTTTATTTTTCTTATATGTACCCATTTCATGTATTCACAACTATGTATACACTTATACTTATTATCTTGTAAACAATTGGCAAATCAAATAAATGAATAAATAAATAAACAAATAAATAAATAAATAAATAAATAAATAAATAAATAAATAAAAATGAAATCATTGCTATCTTACAATTTATGAAGTATAAATTCAGGTACAGGCAATGTTTCCTTCCCTTTCTCATTTTATTTTAATTAAAACAAATGTGTTTGGCATATTGTGAAAAAAAATATCACCCTTTGTAGATATCTTAATTCTTTTATAAGTAGACGTCTCAGCATTCATAGAGAATAAAGATGTTAGGTGATCAAAATTTCCTGATCTATATGAAAAAATAAAAAAGCAAAAAAAAAGAATAGGCAAAAACTATGTGCCATCTTATCAATTTGCCAAAATGGATGTTTGCAACTGGTTCTTTGTACTCTGACTGCTATTATGTTGAAATATTTTGACATGGTTATAAAATTCTAATTATCTCTATTGGTCCAGAACATTTGCCTTTCTGATGCTAATGCAAACAGCCATAAGTTACTAATTTTAGAATTGCTTTGTAAGGAATTCTACTTCTCCTAAACACATCTAATAAAAATCCAGATTCAGATATTGTTTGGAACTCTTTTTTTTCTTGCTGACAGCACTGTTACCAGAAATGTTGGGAAGATGAGATATGAGTTCTGAAAACATATGGGCTAACTCAATTGTTCAGTACACAGAAGATGAAGAAAAACAAATCTTCTGTAGAGCATTCGGATGATTTATCAGTCACATTTGGGCAATAATTTTTAAACCACACATTCCCTTTAGAAGCCAAGTTTGACAAAACAAGTATATAATCAAGTGCTAGAAGTATTAGTTGGGGATCTAAATTTTCTCTATGAGATCAAAAAGCTGGGATGCAGAAGAAATCATTGAATGCACATCAAATTAATTTCAATTGTATATTTATTTCATTACTCTAGCTAATCACTCCACCTAATTCTCAATTAGTGACACAACTGCCAAAGGCAGAAAAAAACATTCCAATAATAATTTTAGCTGCCCAAAATACAGCATAATATATATGCATACCATCTGATATTATCTCAGTGCTATAATTGTGAATGTTTGTGTGTTTGTGTATGAATACTGAAAGAAGAGGAACGATAACAAAATGAAGATAATTGTGATTACAAACTCTGCTGAACGTGAATATATTAACATACTTTAAATGTAGATGTTTCATTTAATGTTATTTGTCCATAATTCCAATTGTTTCCATAATTTCCTTCTTTCTGGAAGATGATCTTTTCACTGCTATCATCATATATAATTTTAATATTTAGATGGTACACATTAATACCATACATATGATACCTAAATGAAAAACAAATTTCATAAATTATATAATATCATATTAAAGTGAAATCTACCCAGTGACTATCACTCTAAATTCAGAACATGCTCTGTCAATAGTAGATGGAATTTGGGAAGAAATAACTTTTATGAGTGAATTCACATAGGCAGACATGGTTTTACTTGTAAATTGCACCTCATCTGGGCAAATGGTAGAACACTTAATGTCCTTATTATATTTGGTCATCCCGCTTTTCCTGACCAAACCAGGATCTTCCACCATTTATTTAATTGGTTAGTTGATCAGAGCTCTTCTTATTTCAGCTTCAGATGTCAGAATGCCTTTTAGTCAGAAGTGTCTAATAGGGTTCCATAAACTTTATCTTCAAACAAAAGAACTTTTGTTTACCTTGTTCCACAAATGTTTAAGATCCTTTTATAATGTAGAACTATAGCTACTACATGAGTCTATATTCACATAATATAGAAAATATTCACATAATCAATTTGGGAATTGGTTTTCAAATACATCATTTTCTACAAGTAAACAAGTTGCACATCTTGTTTTCTAAAAATTAACAAACTGCAGATAGGATGTGCATTATTCCATCAGTGATGGGATTCAATTTTTTTTTACTACGGGTTCTGTGGGCGTGGCTTGGTGGGCATGTCAGGGGAAGGTTACTGTAAAATCTCCAGTTAGAGGTGGTATTTGCCGGTTCTCCGAACTACTTAAAATTTCCACTACCGGATCTCCAGAGCTGGTCAGAACCTGCTGAATACCACCTCTGGATTCCATCCATTTATTTAGGCAAGAGTACTTCTCCTTCCACAGAATCTTTCTATGGGCTTTTGGTATCCTCAGTACTCAATTTTAAAAACATTTTCTTCTTTCCCAAGCTTTTAAAGGAAGACTATTTCTACAAATCATAATAATTTCTTATTATATAAACAAAATATTTACTATACCAGAAATTTAGGCAGTATGCATCTGAAATAGGGTCTAGGGGTAAGCTAAATATTTGAGCTCTCAATGGCCTGCTTACACGAATTATTGGTGTTGAAATGTAGTAGCCTGAAAAAAAATCAAAGTAAAACATATATAAGTGTATATGCACTTAATGAGAGATATAATATGGATTTCTGATTCTTGATGAGTTAAGAAATCATCCTGCTAATAACAACATGAACTCAGTGATGGCAATACTGCTGCTGATTTTATTTTTATCTCACCTCTTTTATATTTGGTCAGCTTATTTTTTAAAGCATACTGGTAACAGGAAGGAAATCAATTAAATAAAGAGAAAAAGAAAGAGAGAAAAAATATGCACTTATAAATATACATATACACTTAAGTAATATTTTATTACTTAAGGTTTGCCAGGATTTCTAGAGAAGTGACTATAGTTAAATGCCAATTTTAATTAGCTTTTGCCAACAGGACTAATGGTGAGAGACTTTTTTATTTTTCTTATTTTTTATTGCTGTCAATTCAATGTTGCTCTACTTTGAAATGGTTTCAAGCCTAAATATGTATTTATGTGTTTAACCAAATTTCTATCCTGAATCATAGCCTAGTTCAGAACTTATGCAACAAAATGTGGTCTAGAAAAATGTGTTGAAATAGAAATAAATGAGGGAAAAGATCACAATTAGTAATAGAATTGAAATGCTGAATGGTCAAACCATCAGACGCCATCAGGATGTAGCCTACCAGAGCCTGGATATTTTACAGCTGGAATACATCAAGCATCATTAAATTCAAACTATGATTAATAAAAAATACCCATGCTACAAAAGATGGTTGAACATACCAATTAAATCAAATGAAATAAATAGCTATTAATTGATTAATTAGTGAATTTCTATACTGAATTTCTGTACTGAAATTTCTGTAAAAAACATGCATTTTTCTATTTTAGTCCATAGATTCACCTGCCTAGCATGCTGCAGAAAAGAAATTATTTAGATAAATATGCATTTAAAATATTTTGAGGCCCTGTGTTTTTCAATATATTATCATCACGTTATAACTGTATTAGAGTAATAAGGCAAGAAAAACCTACTTGGAGCCATTTTTATAAATTGAAGCCCTGAGTTTAGTGGGGTTAATCCTCCAAATGTGTGCAATGCTTTGCACCACTCAAAGGTTAGGGAACAAACAGGGTGAACTTGAAGTATTAATACATGAAGGCAGATATGATATAGTCTTTACTGAAACTTGGTGGGATGAAACTCATTACTGGAATGTACTGATAGAAGAATACAAACTATCCAAAAGAAACAAATCACAAAAAAAGAGGAGGGGGAGTTGAATTACATATAAAAGATCATTACATTTTGACAGAAATACACAAAACCAAGGATGAAAACCTCCTAGAATCCGTATGGATTAATACAAAAGGAAAGAAAAATGATATGGCTATAGGAGTATACTACATGCCACCCAACCAAGCAGAAGAAATAGATGAACTCTTTGCTAATCAATTAACAAATTTATGTAGAAAACATACCACAATAGTAATGGGAGACTAACTACCCTCACATCAACTGAGAGACAAACTCAGCAGCAAGTGGGAGAGTGAACAGATTCAATCATGTAGAAGAGGAAACTAGAAAAAAAACTACTTGATCTAATTCTTACTAATACAGAAGAAGTGATAGGAAGAGTTGAAGTTGCTGGAACCTTGGGTGAGAGTGATCACATCATACTGGAATTCAGTATAATGCAAACACAAGCTATAGAATATAATACAACCAGTGTCTTAAACATTAGAATACCTGATTTTAACGGTCTCAGAGAGAGTCTAAGCAAAATTTCATGGATAAAAATCCTAAAGGGGAAGATAACTCAAGAAGCATGGGAAACACTGAAAAATATGATCATAAAAGCCCAGTCCATCACAATACCATTAAGAAAGAAAAACAAGAAATCCAAGAAGAAATCAGCATGGTTACATAAAGATCTCTCTGAAAGACAACAAGGATAAGTACAAAAAATGGAATGAGGGACACATAACTAAGGCAGAATATAAGAAGATAGCCCGAATCTGCAAAGATGAAGTCAGGAAAGCAGAGACTCAACATGAACAAAGACCTGCAACAAAAATCAAAGACAATAAAAAGTTTATTTCAACATATAAATAACAAGAAAAAAGTCAAGGAAACAGTCAGTCCACTAAAGAGTGAAGATAGCAAGGAAGTGACAGGCAGTAGAGAGAAAGCAGAGCTGCTTAACTCATTCTTTGCCTCAGTCTTCACACCAAAGGAGACTATTGCCCAACCAACGAAAAACATGACTGTAAAAGACAGACTAGAAATAAAAATTAAAATAAGTAAAAAAAAATGGTAAGAGAACACCTCTCTGACCTTGATTAATATAAATCTCCAGGACCTGATGGATTGCACCCCACAGTTCTGAAAGAGCTGGCAAACGTTATCTCAGAACCATTGTACCATATTTTTAAAAAATCTTGGAGCATTGGGAAACTACCAGAGGATTGGAAAGAGCTGATGTGGTTCCCATCTTCAAAAAAGGAGGAAAAAAAAACCAGACCAAGAAACTACAGACCAATCAGCTTAGCATCAATACCTGGGAAGATTCTGAAAAAACCCACAAAGAAACAGATCTGTGAACAATAGAAACAAATAAAATTATAACTGATAGCCAGCATAGGTTTTTTAAAAACAGATCATGCCAAACCAATCTTATTTCATTATTTGAGAAAGCGACTAAATTAGTAAACCAGCAAATGCTGTGGACATAGTACATTTAGACTTCAGCAAGGCATTTGACAAAGTAGACCACATCCTACTTCTTGCTAAGCTAGAAAAATGTGGGATAGATAGTCTCACCACAAGATGGATTAGTAACTAGCTGACAAACTGTATTCAATGAGTAGTCCTTAATGGTACCACATCCACATGGAGGGAAGTAAGCAGTGGTTCTGTCTAAGGCCCAATACTCTTCAATATTTTCATGAATGACTTAGATGGGGGAATAGAAGGAGAACTCATTAAATTTGCAGATGACACTAAACTGGCAGAAACAGCCAACACCTCAGAAGACAAGCTCAGGATCCAAAAAGATCTTGACAGACTTGAACAATGGGCCCTATCCAACAAAATAAAATTTAATATGGAGAAAAGCAAAGTTTTACAGAAAACTTTGTAAAGTTTTGCAGAAAAATCAAAGGTATAAGTATAGATTAGGTGAAACCTGGCTCCAAAACAGTAACTGTGAGAGGAACCTTGGAGTCTTAGTGGACAATCACTGAAACATGAGTCAGCAGTGTGCAGCCGCCACCAAAAAAGCTAATACAATCCTTGGTTGTATAAACAAAGGCATAGAATCAAAATCATGTCAAATATTAGTACCACTTTATAAAGCCTTGGTAAGACCACACCTGGAATACCGCATCCAATTTTGGTCACCACATTACAAAAAAGATGTTTAGACTTTGGAAAAAATGCACAGAAGAGCAAGTAAAATGGTTAAATGCAAGTAAAATGATTAAAACATATGAAAAACAGTTGGAGGATTTGGGTTTGGCTAGTCTAGAGAAAAGAAGGACTAGGGGTGACATGATCACAATATTCCAGTATTTGAGAGGCTGCCACAAAGAAAGGGGTCAATTTATTTTCCAAAGCAGCAGAGGGAAGGCAAGAAACAATGGATGGAAACTAATCAAGGAGAGAAGCAAACTGGAATCGAGGAGAAACTTCCTAACAGTGAAGACAGTTAACCAGTGGAACAGCTTCCTCTCAGAAGTTGTGGGTGCTTTATCCCTGGAGGTTTTAAGAAGAGTCTGGACAGTCACTTGTCTGCTGGACTAGAACAGGGGTCGCCAACCTTTGGGACTTCAGGGACCATGAAACTCATAATTTTAAATCCTGCAGACCACTAATATGAATTTTGACTGACGGTGGCTTGCTGACATTGGTGGGAAAGTTGGTCCCATATTCCAGAGCTGTAGTAATCACAAGACTGGCCCTTTGGTCATCCCGAAGCAGTTGCTTCTCCACCCGAGTGCACAGGCCTGCCATGGACTGGAGGAGCTGCTCTGGGATCACCAAAGGGCCAGTCTTGTGACTATTGCAGCTCTGGAATATGGGACCAACTTTCCCACCAACATCAGCAAGCCACCCCGGGATGGATTTCCCTCTCTCACCATTGGTCTTATCTTCCAGTTCCAGCTCGCATGGCTCTTCTCAAGGTAAGGTTTGTGCTTGGCCAAAGGGTGGGGGCCAGCGGATGGGCGAACCATGTGGGCGGCATAGCCTTGTGTTCCCATGTAGCCTGGATTAATTGCTTTGGAGGGAGTGCTTTGGTGGAGGACATTTCTCTGCGGACCACCAAAATTTTCTCACAGATTACCAGTGGTTCCCGGCTCACTGATTGGCAACCACTGGACTAGAAGACCTCCAAGGTCCCTTCCAGCTCTATTCTGATTCTTTGATATGTTCAGTTTAAGCAAAAGAAAGAATATAAAATATTTCTATTATCTCCAAAATACATTAAATTGGAAACCAACAACAATAATTGCATTTGCATACAGTATTTCTTACCTGATAAATTGCCAAAGGTATGATCAAAATCTGGACCAGAAGTAGGAGGAAAAAAAGAGCCGTTAGCTCTCTCCCATTCATTCATTCCCTTTATATGTTGAATCCAGTAACAAAATCCATCTTCAAAAGTGCAGTTGATTTTTTCATTGTCTTCAAAGAAAGTTGGAGTAAAAATAATAAAATCAACACACTGAAATTTTATAATGCATATCCTAATTATACTCAGAATCAAGGGATTACAGCATCATAAAAAGAAAAAAAATCCTGATTATTATCATTTTGATACTGTTCACAAAATAATTTTACTTATGGTGCTTTCTCTGTGAAAAGTCCCACTTTGAAATTAGTTGAAATGACATTTTGAAAAAAAGCACAATTACTTGAATATACTGTACAATAGAAGACATATATGTATGATGAATTGTTACGTTTCCTTATCCATGGCATTTAATGTAACAACTGGTACAGACAGAGTAACAGCATTTAGTAGCAGGGTATCAAACTTGATTTCATTGAGGGCTGCATCAGAGTTGTGTTTGATCTCAGGTGGGGTGGGTGTGACCAGGATGGGTGTGGCCAGCTTGATGTCACTCATGTCAGGGGTGCCTGTGGTGGCCTGAGTGCTTTCCCAGTGAAAACGGGCTCCTGAGTTCCGTTTTGGCTGCGATGGCCTCCTATAACTCTCTGCCAATGAAAACAGAGCTCCATTTTCGCTGGCAATGGCACTGCGTATTGGTCCTTCCCTGTTTAAGCACCCTGCAGGCCAGATCTGCCCCCGGGGCCTTGAGTTTGACACCCCTAGTACTATAGTACTATTGTTACAGTGAGTTGGACATCTTAAGCAATGGCTGTTTCACATGAAACATTTAGCCATGCACTCTGGCCTTGTAAGCTCTGCACAGTGGTATTTGCTTGTTTTATTTATTTACTTTTCTCACAGCCAACACTGCTGGAAAAAGAGTTGTTAGGCAAGGAAAAGGCAAAGAGCTTAAGCCATGAATTATAGCAGGCATCACACAAACTGTATGCATCTACAACTGACTTTCCTGTCGGGAAGTCAAGATGATGCATTTTTATTCTTAAAGTAGCAACCCTGTGAGTCTAAGGCACATTAATAACTGGCCTAATTGCCGAATATATTACCTAACTGAAGGGAACATGATCCTGGACTCCAGACTACCATATTGGTTTTCGTGTAATATTACCACCAATGAGCTGAAGCATTTGATTAAGAAGAAAATTACAGAAACCAGATAGCAATAAGAAAGTGATGGTAGAGATCTCAATGAGTAGTTGGATGGGATAAAAAGGGATCTGTAATTTCTAAATTACATAGTTGATCAGCTGTTGCACACCAAGGAAGCTGTATGCTATAATTATATTTTTCAAACAGTAGTCATGACTATTTTGCTGTAGTGCTTAAATATAAATTACAGGTATACTTACCGGTTAGCTCACTTGTATTGAATGCAGCGTAGGTTGCATTAAAACCATTAAGGTTCTCATGTAAATCTGTGACAAATTCTACAGTGGCTTTATCAGAAAAAATATAAACTGTTGCAGGATTTGAACCTGAGATGTGAGCTAAGAACAAAAAAACATAATGGAAAACAAATCAGAATGGAATAATAGTATATCTATTCAAGTAAAAGTGAGTCAACTGATTTTGTTCTATGGAAAGTTGATACAAAACTATATAAACATTAATGTTCATATTGTTTAGTAACAATTTAAATCTGAACTTTCAATAGGATTCTAGTCACAACAATCAATTGCAGCTAATTTAATGAACTTAAAGTAAGCAAATCATTATATAAATATAAGTAAACTCTGTCATCTTCACACAAAAGACTGAGGCCTTATTATGTCTACTGGTTTTCCATAACTATCATTCCATCCAAGGAAAATGTTTCAGAAAGTGTGTGAGATGGATTTTGTCTACGAAGGTGATGGACTATAGTGAAGTATCATCTTCTCAGGACAGAGGGAGCATATTCCAAAAACAGAGCAAAACAGCCTGGTACTGGATTGCAGTCAGAGGAAGAGATTTAGGATAGTCACTCCCTAGAATTTCCCTAGGTGTATCTGTTAGGATAAGAGTGGTATAGATTTAATCTGGCAAAATTTTGTCTAGAGAGTGTGAACAAATAAAGAATTAAAATTTGGTTGGCTTGTTCTATGTCATTCTGTGCTGGGCCTGACAGTGTAGTAATATTTATTTTTCTAAAAACTTTTGAAATGTGTAAACAAAAAAGAAAATGTTAAATCCCTCCCCCACCCTTAAAAAACCCCTTATGCTTCAATATTTGCATTTGTCATATATAAAAACTGAATATGTTTTGTATTACAGTCAGCTGAATGATTAAGTACATAAAAAGCTCAGAATAGTATAAATACATTGCAAAGCCTGAATGAATGTCTGATTGATAATTATGTCTCATCAAGTCAGTGTCAACTTTTAGCAACCACACAGATCTTCTTGAGGATGATCTGTCCAAACCTGGTGCTATATGTCTTCCAATAGTGCACTTTTCTAAGTAGTCCAATGATCTAGATGCTGGTTATCCTACTCCATTTTCTTCCATGTTTTCCAGCAGTATAAACTTTTCAGGAGAACTAGATCTTCATATAATATGGCCGTAATATGATAACTTAAGCCTAGCCATTTACTCTTTGAATAAGAACTCTGGATTAATCTTCCAATATTTGTTTTCATGACCTCTTCTCAGATCTCCAACACCAAATATTCTTTCTATCCCGCTTCTTCAAAGTCCATAAAATACCTATTCCTATTCAAATCTTTCTGTTCCACAGTGTGTCAGTTGAGTACATATTTCTTCGTACACAAAATAATATCATACATATTTAACTTGTATATAGTTATAATTGTTCTTATCAGTATTTTATATCACATTTGTCACTTATTCTATTATCCTTAACTTTTAAGTCCTTAACTTTCAATAATATATTTCAAGTTCATTTTCTTACTCTATCTAACTCATCTATTTATCAGCAACAGTATGTTATACTATACTTATATAATTCAATTTACTCTTCTATCCAACCATTCATAAACTAGATTCCAAATTTTATAATAGTCTTTTTCTTCTTGTTCTCTAATCGCCATTGTTAATCTACTCATTTCTGCACATTCCCTTATTTTCTTAATTATTTCCTCTTCTGTCGGAATTTTTTCATTTGTCCAATTTTGTGCAAATACAATCCTAGCTGCTGTTAAAATATTAATAATCAAATATGTTATTTCTTTGTTATAACCCTCATGCAAAATTCCCAATAAAAATGTCTCTGATTTTAAATCTATAGGTTGTTTTATCATCTTCTCCAGCCACATGTGTGTTTTAGCCAATACTTTCTAGTCTTTGTGCATGTCCACCACATGTGGTAATTTGATCCTGGTAACTTCTGCCATTTCCAACACTTCGCCGACTTATCTTCAAACATCTTAGCAATTCTCAGTGGGGATAAATGCCACTTGTAAAACATCTTATACAAATTCTCTTTATAGGCCACTGACATAGTTAATTTATAATTTCTAGACCATAATATCTGCCATTTATCAAGATCTATTCCATGTCCAAATTTCCCACCCACCCACAATCATTGTTTCTTTTACTTGTTCATCCTCTAACTTCACTCCTATAACCATATAGTTTTTAAATCAACTTCTCATCAGTGCCTGTTAGGATTTTATCTAATTCAGTCAATTCCTTATAAAACCCAGTCATCTTAATGACTTTTTCATACCTTGTATGTATTTGCAAGTATGAGTACCAATTTGTATTTATCCCTTGTAAATCAAATTCTTCTTTGTTTTGAGTTCACCCTTTTCGTTTAAAATTTCATCATATCTAATTATGTGTTCCTTTTTAAACAGCTTCTAGGCTTCTAAAGTTGATAACCAGACTGGTATTTTCAAATAATGATAGTCTCTTATCTTTTCCCATACTGTTAATAAAGCATCTCTAATATAATGTCTCCTAAAATATCCATGTGTCTTACTTTCTTTATACCATAAAAATGCATGCCAACCAACCCAATTGTAAATCATGTCCTTCTAATCTAACGTTAGTAATCTGGCATTTTTCAATACAATCCATTCTTTCACCCACATCAATATTGTTGCCTGATAGTATAATTCCCAATTGGGTAATCCAAAACCCCCTCTCAACCTTGCTTCCTGTAGTAATTTTATCTTGATTCTTGCCTTTTCTCCCTGCCAAATAAATTTCATCATCATTTTATTTAAATCTTAAAAAAAAAATTCAGTCTTATTGGAATCATTTGAAATAGATACAATATTTTTGGCAGTATGTTCATTTTAATTGTTGCTATTCTACCTATTAAGGATAATTGTAGATTTTTCCATTTTTCTAGATCTATCGCAATCTCTTGTAATAATCTGTCATAGTTATTTTCTTTAAGTGTTCCACATCTAGCTGTCATTTGTATCCTTAAGTATTTCACTTTTTTTGTAATTTGAATATTTAATTTGTCCATTAGTCTTTTCTTTTGTTTTTCTCTCATATTTTTCACCAAAATTTTTGTTTTTTCTTTGTTTATTTTCAGTCCTGCTACTTTGCCAAACTCCTCTATTTCTCTAATCAACTTTGGGCCTGTTTCCAATGGTTCTTCCAATATAAAAACCAAATCATCTGCAAATGCTTGTAATTTATACTCTTCATGTTTTATTTTCATTCCCTTTATTTCTCCATTTTTTCTAATATTTCTATTCAAGACGTCCAATGTCAACACAAATAATAGTGGGCATAACGGACAGCCTTGTCTAGTTCCTTTTAAAATATTGAAGTTTTCTGTCAATTCTCCATTTATCATTACTCTTGCTGTTTGCTTTTTATATATCACTTTTAATGCATTCATATACCTGTCTCCAAAACCCATCTCCTCCAATTGCATCAAAATAAACTGTCACTTCACATTATCAAATGCTTTCTGTGCATCTAAAAAAAAAATGCCATTTGTTTTTCTGAGTGGGTTTCATAATATTCCAAAGTGATCAATATTATCCTCATATTGTTTTTTATTTGTCTCTTGAGCAGAAATCCATTTTGATCTGAATGTATAAAATAGTTTAAATATCTTTTTAATCTTTCTGCTATTATTGAAGCAAATATTTTATAATCAGCATTTAGCAGGGATATTGGTCTGTAGTTTTTTTATTTGTTGTGGGTCGGTATCTTCTTTTGGTATAAGTGGTATATACTTCTGTCCATGAATCAGGTATTTTATTTATTGTCAAAATTTCACTCAATAGTTCCAACATTGTAGTAGAAATTGTTTCCTGAATTATCTTATAAAATTCAGCTGATAGCCCATCTGGGCCAGGAGCTTTTCTAGTATTTTGTCTATTTATTGCTTCTATCAACTCTATCACTGTTATTTTTTAATCTAACATGGTCTTTACTTCCTCGGGTATTTTTGGTAGTTCTGCCTCTTGTAGATATTGCTGTACTTTATTTTCTTTTATTGTCCCTTGATCATATAGTTTCTCATAAAATTTCTGTACTATTTTTTTTCTCTTCATTTTCATAACATAACATGTCGTTTTCATCCATTAGTTGTAGTATTCTCTTTGATTTTTTTTCTTTCTTTAATTTGTATTTTAACCATCTCCCTGGTTTATTTGCATTTTCAAAATAGTTCTATTTAGCTCCTCTAATCTTTTGTGTAAGTTCTTCTTTTTCCATTAGTCCAATTTTGTGTTTAATTATATCCATTTGGTTTTTAGTATTTTTATGTTGTGGATATTTTTGTAAATCCTTCTCCAGTTTTTTATACTCTTGTTCTAAAGATTGTTGTGTTTGTCTCTTTTTAGTGTTCTTTCTTCTTGTATAGGTTATAATTATCCCTCTGGTATACACTTTCATAGTGTCCCATACGTTTTGTAATGAGGTTTCTCCTGGTTTGTTTTCTTTAAGGAAGAAAGCCAACTGTTTTTCAAGATGTTTAATAAATTCTTTTTCTTTCAAAATTGAATTATTCAAAGTCCATCTTGATCTTTTCTTCTGTCCTTTCCATTTAATCCTTATTGGGTTGTGGTCAGCCCAAATGTTTGTATCAATATTTGCTTCTTGAATATTAGGTATTAAATCTGTTGACATCCAAATCATGTCTATTCTTGACCATGATAAATGTCTCTTTGAGTAAAATGTAAATTGTCTATTTTTTTTATTCAATTCTCTCCAAATATCTTTAATACTCAGTTCCTCCACCATCTTAAAAAAAGATTTAGGTAATATTTTCCTGTTCTCATTTGTTTTCTGTGTTTTATAGTCCAGTTTAGTATTTACAATTGCATTGAAATCTCCTAGAATGCATATCTTATCATAATCAAGTTCAATTATTTTATTATGTAGATTTTTATAGAATTGGTCTTGCTGGTTATTGGGAGCATAGATTGCGATTAAAAGTACTTTTGAGTTATTATCTGTTATTTCAACCATCCTATTCAAATCATAGGGTTCATTTATTTTTAACATTGAATTAAAAAGGCATCTTACCTCTTAATATCTTTGTTGGACCTATGCCTTCATAAATACTTAGAATATCCACAAACTCTTGTGTCTTAAAAGCAGTGAAGTTAATTTTGATAGATAGGTGCTTCTCCATACTAAAAGAAAAACATCATGAAAGATGCCATATTAATGATTAGGAAATCAAAGCTGTATTGCAGAGTTACGATAATGTGAAGTGAAATTTTTGTTACTACTGGTTGTTTTTAGTTCTGTACCTGCAACAGAAAGTAGGGAAAACTCACTTTCCTGAAAAAAATCTCACTGCACATTCTCAGCTTTATCTGAAAATGCTTTTGAAGGTCAGAGTGCTCTGCTGAATAGAGCAGGTTAGGAAGCATGTCAACTAAGAAGGAAGAACCTTTTCCCTGTCCTTGTCCACCTATTCAGCCAAGTCCTTTGATTCTTTCTGGAACATTTTTAGAATGAATGGAGGAATATGCAACACATTATCATCATCATCATAAATTGGCACCATACCCCCACCAAACAGTTTCAAATTGCTTCCTTTAGATTCAAAGGAGAAGGAAAAATTCCACAGCAATGATTGGTGAAAGTAGGTATTAGTGTACAACGTGATTCAGAGAGTCTTCTGTTTACTTTAAATGTCTGAGCTAGGTTTGCAAGATTTAAGTTTGAGAGCAAGTATGCCATCATTAGGAGCCCAAGCAGCTGAATGATACAGATACATGTGGTTTCAGGGCTAGACGAATGGGTTCCAAATGTGATCATAAATATTTTGATTGTGTATGCTTGCCATGTTTCTTGCTTATCTGTGATACTTGGATCAAATTTTTGTGTGGCTTATTTTAGGTGGTGAATTGATTACCATTCTCTAAACTTTCCACCAGAATAGTATGTCACATCTAACCACTCTTCAAGGGGACAATCTCTTTTCTCCCAGTTAACCAGTAGTTTTTGTAGGTTGGCTAAGGATTATTATATTCAGTGCAGCAATATATTACTTAGCAGGGATAGAAGCTTTTATCAGAATATAATAATGGTTCCAAAACCAAAAAGTGGGGGTAGCAATAAGAACTCAAGCTGATTTAAATTTATATGAGTGTCAGGGCATGGAAAAGGGCCCTATATATAACATTTTTTGGTAATTTTCAAAGATTATAGATTTCTAATTTTTATAAGAATTATCTATGGTTATCTGATATAGAAGGCAAAACAACATATTTCCTGTTGTCTTTATTTAGGCTAGAAGTCTCTAAGAGAATTTGGATAAAGAAATAAAAATATTCTATAATTTTAGGACTTTATCCCAGGGACCATAGGATAGATCTCAAACTATAATGATTATTAAACACGGGAGTTGCATTATATTACAAACAGTGCTTATTTACACTCTGTTACAGTTTCTGTTATATAAGCACAAATATTTCAAATACTCAAGAGGAAAGTATGAAAATGCGAAACAGCAAACTGTTTTAATTTTAGTAACGATTACAGTTTCCAAAAGACATGTAAAATATATTTTTGATCACAATAATTTCAACATTCTTGTCACAGTCAGTCTGGAAATAACAATTGAGCATTGATCTATGTGGTCTATAATTCTTTCTGTTCATTCCTTCATAGTACTTGTGCAGATGGCAAAATCTTAAAATTATATTTGACAAAAATAAACACAAGAAAACTTTGAAAAATGCAACTTAGTAAAGCTCATTTGTTAAGTTCCATAACATGTAATTTGACCAAAATAAGTCAATTTTTTTATCAGTACATTAAAATGAATAATATTACATGGTTCAGAAAGAAATATAAAATTGAATGAAGAAACAGTAATGTCACCGTAAAAGCAATGCTAGTATAAACAGCAAGGATAAAAAACATTTTCAGCTTCAGCTGAAATTCTGGTGTTTTTTTTTTTGTTTTTTTTTGTTATTAATTCCTACAGAAGCAGATGATGACAATATTATGAGTAATGTTTGAAATATGTGTTTATATCACCATGAAGGACTGTAAAAATATAAAAAAATACAAAAAATATTCAATTAATATTTCCTTAATATACACCCAATCATGTGAACAGTTTCTTCACCAGATGAATTGTAATAGTTTCTTTCTTTCTTACACATTTTAATATTTGGTTCCAGGGGAAAAAAAAAGCAAATTGGAGTCTCAAGGCAATTAAAAGATATTCTGTTAAAATCTTTAGGGAACCAATTAATATGGATCAGGTAGACAAGTAGATAAAAAAAAACTGCACAGCTTCAATCCTATTGTCAAATCCTATGGCAGATTAATTGAGACCCCACATTGATGTTAGCATTTTGTTCTTTGGTTCCATGTTGTGTATACAGTAGTAGCTTTTATCTTTGGTGTTACTACTTGTGTTTCTCTGAAAATAAGACCTGATCTTATTTTCTTTTGGCCCTAAAATAAGTATCGGATCTTATTTTCAGGAGATGTCTTCCCTGCTTACCTTAGGATTATCACAGCCATGCTCCCCATGCCTAAATACCTGTCACACCACTGGCTGACTTCTTCTGCATCAGTGCCACCGCTCGTGGCAGGGCACTGCATGGTACTTCACACTGGTGCTGCCACTCATGGCAGGAGGCTACATAGCATATTGTGCTGTTGGGTACATGAGCTGCGGCACAAGCATGATGTGCCATGCAGCACCTGCTTCAAGTGGTGGCACCAGTGCAATGAACCTCACAGTGTCCTGCCATGAGCAGTTGCACTAGCGTGATGCACAATGTGGCATCTGGCTGTGAGCAGTTGCAAGTGCCCGCAGAAGTTAGGCAGTGGCACGACAGGTGTCAAGGCATAGGGGACCTGGCTGCAGCAGTCCTAAGGTAAGCGGGTACAAGGTGCATGGGGCAGCTCCATCCCTCTACCCACTCCCTAATTTGATTTTATACATACACCTCACCCCACCTTGTACAATCAGATGGTGGGCAAGACTTAACCAGGGCTTAGTTTTGGGGTAGGGCTTATATTAGGCAGAGCTATGAAAATCGAATTAGGGCTTGTTTCTGGGGTAGGTTGTATTTTCAAGAAAGCTGTATTTTTTCCTATTTTGTTATTTTTGCTTATAATCACTTGGAAGTAGCTTACAAATAAAATAATTAAATAAATGAGAAAATGGCTCACATGAGTTAGCTGGAAGGACTTTCAGGCAACAGTTACCTAGATAGGGGTTTAAAATTATACTAGAGAATGGTTTGTTATGCTTTCAAATTATATAGGCATTGCAATATTAGGAAAATATGGTGTCAACTCATGAAGCATCCCTGACCTGCCCTCGAGTTGCCATAGAAAAGGGGGGTGGGGAATCGAACTTCACAGCTGCATCAAGGAGCTTGTATTTCAATCAAAACAAAGCACATTCCAGCCAGCACATCAAGGTCATCTCTACAGAAACCCACACTGGCTGGAGGAAATATTTTCCACAATCCACAAAATTGCTTTGTTGGGGAATGTGACTGATGACACACCTTGAGGGGAGAGGGAAGCAGGATCAGAGCCAAAGCACGAATTAAGTGAGGTCAGAGTTGGCTCCATTTGGTCCGTGCCGACATAAAGCTCCTAATAAATAACTGAATTTCTTTTGAAGCTTGCCTGAGGCTCATGATTTAATTAGGGCATCGGTTGGAACCCTGACACATAGATCTATGAGGAGCATCATGATAAATATTGGCTAGATTGCATAAATTAAACAGTTAAAATATTAATATAAGGGGGAAAGATCACTTTGATTGCAGAAAGTGTTTAATTAAAATCTAGAATGTTATAAAGTTCCTTACTTTATTATCCATCGACAAACAAGATTTGAGCTATAGGGTTCTGGATAATTAATAGAATGGAAAGATCCAGACAAGCCATCTAGAATGAATTTTCCATCACAGGGTGTAGCTGTAAATGCAGGGTGGTAAAGAAATGAGGAAAATAAAACAGTTTGATTTTATTTCAAAGTATTTTGTCTTTGATAGAGTAAATATTGGTAATGATAAAAATATGTCCACTCAAAATTAGAAAACTAATTTATGTGTATTATCTAGAGACAGATTCTGTGTGACTCAAATGAAATTCTAAGTTTAGAAAAACTATTTAAAAATAACAAAAATTATTAATCATCAAAAATACCACTTCAAAATAATACTTCACACTATAAAGATTGAACAAAGAATTGAATCATTCTGAAACAACATCTTTAAAAAAATACATTATACTTTTTTTAAAAAATAAAAATTTGCTTAATAAAATTATATTCTACATAACTCTGGATTTTCAGAAAGTGGTATTGTTATTAATAGTTCAGTACATCAGTAGTACTTATGTTTTGAAAGCTGAATTAAGATATTGAAGAGTTGCTTAATTTTATGAAAGGAGGGCTTCTTGGGTTATTCATTAGTTATATTTTAGTTGAGATATGCACTGATTTATTGAAACTATTAAAATTATACCTTTACTGTGCCTTTAATTAATTAATTAATTTGTATTCCACCTTTATTATTATTATTACAAATAACTAAAGACAGCAAATATATCCAACACATCTTCTTCCTCCTATTTCCCCCACAACAGTAATCCTGTGAGATGGGCTGAGCTGAGAAAGAGCTCAAGAGTTGAAATCATGTTCTCCTGCTTTCTAGCCTGGTGCCTTAACCACTAAACCAAATTGGCTCTTGGCTTTATATCCCTATCATGTACAGAACTCTACCGATATTTTATTTTGTCAATAAAATATCAGTGCAGTGTACATTATTAATATACACAATTTCTACATGATTTCACATGCTATAGAATTGATTTTGTCATTTGGTGAATGAAAAAAAAGCAATACTGAAAAGCTGCAAAATATAATGCACCATAATTTTGCAAATATCTTCTTTCTACTCTTTGTGAATTCTCCATATAGAGGTGCTCTGGGCCCTTCAAGTTTACTATTTGTAGCTCTGAATATTACAAATGATAATCAAAACATTAAATTGCTTTCCTGATTGATATCTAGCATCCTGCACTTTATGGACATTATGGTATGAGAAATGGAACTTAACATCTTGACTACATGCAATTCTTATTGGAACCTCAAACAAAGGAAATTAATGTTAACTGTATATTTAGTAATTGAAGTGATCTTCTCTAAGTAAGTAATGAGTTCTTGGTAGAAATTTTTGAGTTAATTTAACTTATAAAAAACAAAGCCTGCAACTCATAGTTTGTACATGATAAACAGACAATGAGAATAATCAGCTAAACTTAATTTCTCAGTTAGCTGGATTTTTCAGTGAGTTTCATTAGCAGATGAGTTAATGAATTTCATGACTGGAAGATTGAAAAGGAGGACCTTTGTATCGCTCCAAAATGTTTCTACAATTTTCATATATTCATTGCTGTTTCCTTGTTATTATCTGCTTGATGACCAGTGAAGGAGGAACACCATCCCCCTCTACTTTTTGTTTGAATGGCTTTAAATGTCACCAATAAGGTGGTTAAATAAATATTTTATAGACAACCAAAAGACAATTTTCAAATATCTATAATTCTTTTGTTATACTAATATATTGGAACCTGAACTTTGAGATAATTATAAGAAAATAATATTAAAATTTTGAAAACATTATGTTCTGTAGACATTACAGTCTATGACTGTAATAAATTGAATTTAATTGAATATGACAAAAGTGAAAAATGCATTGTATATGCAATGCACTCATACAGCTACATTTTCTTTATAAAAATATTATGTCTTTCTCAGGAAACTTTTCAGATCAGAAACTGCTTATATTCACAGAGGGTGAGTGCAACCTTTTTGTCTTTTTTGCCAGATGGGAAAATGGAATTTTTCAAGGATAAGGGAAGTAAATAAAGTAAAAGTAATCAAAAAGATATTTCCATTAATAAGAAAGGAAGATCATGCACAATTCAGATTGGAAGTATCTGACTCCTTTTTATCAAAAGGGATTACATAGAAGGGAATATATTGATAGTGGCTTCAAATTATGCACAAGTCTTTTGAAGGTTCAATTCAGATTGCTTTTTATAAGCATTTCCCTTCACATGGAGGAACCATAGAATCAGCTCAAAGTCTCCCAATTTCATTTAGGATTTAGCATATCCAGTGCACAATTGTAAGTATTACCATAAGCATAACTGAAGGCAGTATCAAATATACATATTGTTTAACATAAAAATTAAATATGTACATACCGTATTTGCCGGCGTATAAGACGACTTTTTTGCCCTGAAAAAGATGCCTCCAATTGGGGGGGTCGTCTTATATGCCGGGTCGTCTTATACGCCGGCAAATAGTAATTGGGAAGCACTGCGGCTGCCCGCGGCTGAGGCACTTTTGCGCACCGTGGAAACGAATCCCGTGAAGCCAAAAGGAGCAGCCAGCCTTCTCCCAGCTCCCAAGGAAACGAGGCTCGCACCGCCCGGGCTCCGCTGAGGTATCCGGCTGGGGCTGTCAGGAGTTGTTACC